AGGAGACATATTGGAGTATAATGGGGTATATATATATGGTTATTTTGGGACAATGGAAAACAAAATGGAAACTACTATTTGGGGTTTAGGGTTTGCAGTTTGTTTTACTATGCTTGTCAACTGAACACCCGACATGGCTCATGATGTTCTACATCGTTGCTTAATTTCGCTTTGATACCAAAGACCAGCGGAAAGTACATGTTTGCTTTTGTATTGTGGTCCCGCTTGTAAACCAACTGTACTAAGCGCAGTGGAGTTACAGGAAATTCTACATAGTCCCGTGACAACAGCACCCACGGGAAGCATGACAAATCCTATCGCAACCCTGCAGATGCCAGAAAGCATACATAGCCCCTTTGGCACCCCATGCGGTCCCACGCGCAGCGTTACAACAGCCACTTTACATGACTTCGTAGGGTCGAGGTGAAGAGATCCTACAGTTTGTGGCCGCATATGAACATTTGGAACCTCCAAGTCTCGGTTCATAGCCTGTATCAGCAGTACATCTCCATAAGTAGAGGGCCCTTTTATAGATGGCAATTTCATGGTAATCCTTATTAACCCCAAAAAGGGATCGTTGAGTCTCGGAAACTGCCATCTTGTATGATGGGAGGTGCTTCCTAAACCCTAAACCCTAAACCCCTAAACCCTAAACCCCTAAACCCTAAACCCTAAACCCCTAAACCCTGAACCCTAAACCCTAACCCTGGGAGGTGCTTCCTGCAGCATTGGCGCTGCTTCCGGGAAAGCGCCAGGACTAGAGCTGCACAGCACCAACCTCTCCACCGCCTCTTTAGCTTCAGGAGTTTGTAGGTTAAGGCTTAGGGTTTAGGGTTTAGGGTTTAGGGTTTAGGGAAGAAGGGAATTTATATTACCGGGGATTATATAATGAGGATAATATTCTCATATTCCCTAATAAGAACCAGTAAGTTTAGGTCTCGGGATGTATCTTTCAAAGACTTTGGTTTGTTAGGATTCAGTCTTTAGTTTTTTTCCTTTGGGGGTCAGAGCTTTGTACCTCTGCATTTCAGAGAGCCTGCTGGCAGGCTGGTGTGTGGTTTGGGGTAAAGGACTCATGGCTTAGTATGGGTTTTTTATGGGGCTTAGAGTAGAATAGTTCAAGGTAGGGCAGAGATGAGAGGCGTAGAGTTCACAATATTGGGCTCAGGGTCATGTGACTCTGCTCAGTGAGCCTTTGGAACCTTTCTCAGCAGCTTGTCCCTGGATGCGGAGTCCAGGACCCGCGAAAGCATGGCTTGCTCACCTTATATCATCCCAATCCTTTGCCGTAAGTGCTATGTTTCGGGTCCCTAAGTCCTGAATCCTAAGTCGTGTAATGGAAGTTTGGAACCATGTGTGGGGTTGGTTCCTGTCGCCGTGCTGTTGTTTACAGGAGCGCAGCCTTTTCGCCTTAGTCTGAGGGGGTAGATGGCAAATCTAAAAGCCCTGAGCCACGACACTGAAAATCCCAAACCCCTAAACCGGTGACTCCCTTAACCCTCCAACAGCTAATTTCCTGAACCCACCAACCCTGAAACCTAAACCTCTAACCCCTAAACCCTTCAACTTGGACCCTCAGACCGCTTATCCCATGAGAGTTGAGTTGCACATGGCAGCCGTGCAAAAAAGCCTACCATAAAAATGAGGTGGTTGCTACCAACTTCTGCTCCGTTCTCTCATTCCCTCGTTAATAGGTAGCAAGATGTAGCCTTGAGGCCTGTATATCTCCCAAAAAACCAGTTAAAGTTGATTCTGCTTTAAAAAACTGACAATAACCATTCACCCCAAGCCCTAAACCCTAACACCCTTAAACCCTGAACCCTAAAACCCTAAAACCCCAAAACCCTAATCCTACACTAGGAAAGTAGTTCCATTTTTTTTCCTTTATCCCTATATAAACCCAATATATATCCTATTGCAAAATAGTAATTTCCATCTTTTACCCCGAGATCCCTTTGCAGGAAGGATCGTTGGAGCCGCCTGCTGCGCCGATGGCACCTCTGGGCCAAGGCTTGGGTTTTTTGGGGGTTGGGGTTTAAGGGTTTTAGGGTTTTAGGATTTAGGGTTTTGGGGTTTAGGGTTTTGAGGTTTAAGGTTTAGGGTTTTAGGGTTTTAAGGCTTTAGGGTTTAGGGCTTTAGGGTGTAGGGTTTTAGGGTTTAGGGTTTTAGGGTTTAGGGTTTTAGGGTTTAGGGTTTAGAGGCTTAGGGTTTAGGGTTCTAGGGTTTTAGGGTTTGGGTCTACATTAGCCAGTAAGCTCCTCTAATGTAGAAGCCCAGAAGAGTACCAGTATATATATATATGGGGGTTTCATAAAATCAGGGGTACCTTATTGCATAATAAGGATGGTAGCGTTTTGAGTCTATATTGGGGTTCCCAGCATCATCCACTTGCCGACAATTGCCACATCTCCACATACCTTATTCAGACGTCCAGGTTCAGGTATGGTAAGGTGCAAGGAAACTCGGGCAAGTGAGTGACTGCTACGATGTACCCTCAAGCTTGGGAATTCTGGTGCTGTCGTATACTAGCGCGTATACTAGGGGTCATGCAATCTTTGGTTTCAACGGTATGTTTTCTACGTGTATAATGGCGACATATTATCGTTCTCGCAAGCAAGAGCATAAGTTCTGCTGTGACCCATGGTGTAAGTATTTCTTCAGTAGACGGCCAAGTAACTTTGAAGTAACAGAGACCTCAAGCCCCCATCCAATTCTTATCTTTTCTTCTCTACGCTTCTCTAACCTGCCTGTTCACAAATTGCACAACCCTGAGCCCCAATCGGAATCCTAAACTCGGACTTGTCCGGACGGTATAGTCAGGTTCAAGCAGCTGACCGGCAAGCCCACGCCGGCAATCCCAGTCCGTGTTTCAGGGCTGGCGTGTAATTAACGGTTTGAGGGCTTAAGGTTTAGGGTTAAAGGGTTTAGGGTTTAGGGCCCCCGGGCCCCAAAAAAGAGCCTAACGTTAATGTGCTATAATCCTTCTTATACCTCCCTTGTTGGAGACCCTATCTGGAGAGTAGGGTTCAGGGCTAAGGCTTTTGAGATGTTGGGGTTTTGAAATGAGAGCGTAGGCGCTCGGATGGGTGGGAATTCCTCTGTAGCTACAGGTGGCCTAGCTGTAGCCGCAGAAGTCTGCGTCCTGAGGGATATTGCGCCACAGCCCAGTTGAAGAAAGCGATGCCAGCGTTGTTTGCCTGCTTCAACCCTAAACCCTGCACAACCCTAAACCCTAAACCCTAAACACCCCTAAACCCTAAACACCCCTAAACCCTAAACCTTAAACAACCCTAAACCTTAAACATACTCTTGTTCCAGGGGTGCTTGGTTTTGCAGTGGAGCATTGCGCAGTCACCTGAGCTGAGGTGGGTCCACGCAAGAGAATCCCCATCTTTGTAGGTCCATTTTATTTTCCCCAACCCCAATAGCACCCCAGTATATAACCCTATAAACCCCATATAGAACCCTTCTACAACTCCTATAGAACCCCTATACAACCCCCTATAGGAAGTTCATTTTTTTTTGCTTGGGGGATGTGGAGTGTCAAAGTTTGAGCACTGCTGGGCTCCCTACTCTGCTGAGGTGATTCTGTTGCGCACTTGGCGTGGCGAGCAGGGCTCCCAGTCTCTTATGACCTGTAGTCTAAACTCCCTAAAGGGGGCTTATATAGGGGATTATACAGGGGAGTTTTATAGGTATATGGGGATTATTGAGCGGGATACTAGGAGCGAAGACTATAGCTCATATGCGGTATGGGTTCATAAGTCTGTAGGATATCCGGTTATGTTTATAACTTGCTTTTGGGTACGGGGAGTTGTGATGGTTTTTGTGACAGCGCAGCATGGCCTCGTACTGGTGAGGGCGCGCATGGCTTTTTGCGGGCGCACTACAGAGAAACGCCTGACCTCTATGCTTAGGCCTCTAGAGTGCTATACTTCATGTTTTTTGTTATTCTGCCGAGGGTGTTTCGGGCCTAAGCTTGGACTCCAATCAGTGCACGATTTCGTCTGCTTTGTGGATATCAGGGGCTACTAGTGCTGCAGCTTCGTTGTGCGAATGTAATGTCCTTTTTTCATCCCGCCTCTGCCCCCAAAAGTCATCCCAAGACCTCTCGCGAAGGCTTGCGGTCCCCAAGTGAGGGTAACCGCATGGGAACACATTGCCAGCTATGGTCCTGTGTAGCCAACATGGCATACCTACAGCAGAAATCCCAATCCTAAGCCCTGATTCCAGCCTTAATTCCTGGGCCGTGAGGTTCAGTCGCAAGAATCCTCTCCCCAAGAATGAACACGCCCACCCACTGAATAATGAATACACCCAATATAGTACCATTTTGTACCAAGGGAATATTTGGGGATTGTCCTAAATTACTGTCAATACGGGGTCCTATATTTAGGTTCCTATTATAATAAGGGGCCCTATATAAGTTTCCCCCATTTTGGGAACAGCAATTTAGGGAAACTTCCATATGTCTCTAATCCACTAATTTGGCATTCCAGTTTCTTCCAGCACTGTTCCTTTACAAGATTTTGTTTGCAGTGTCCCAAACGGTTGGGGCATTTCATACAGCCTGTTGCGGCTTTTTCTGAGACTCAGGCTTTTTCAGTCATATGTGGCTTCCCATAACAATGAGCATGTAAATGCAAGCGTTCCGGGATGTCAAGCATTTGGGCTAATGCGAAGGGGGGGCGGGGCGGCCAAAAAAAAACAGGCCTCACTCGTAAGGCTTGATCTGATTTTCCATTGTGTAGGCCATGACTTGCACTTACAAGTACACGCGTTGATTAATTTGGAACCTTCTTGTGGATTGGTGTTTTCGTGTCTAAGTCTTACCCTTCTTCCAGCATAGCACTCATTGGGCACAACCTTGATCACCAAAAAACAGGTTCCCAAAAAGGTTTCGTCCTTGCCATGGCAGAATTGCGCTACGCAAGGGCCCAGGCCGCATTGCGCGAGACAGCAAGGTTCTTGTGTGGAAGCCTTCCAAGCCAGATGCGCAGGTGTGGGCAGATGTTCCGTCATGTTCCATCCCTCGCAATACGAGGGACTTCCCTTTGTTGGCCGCAGGCCCTCGATAAATTTGTCACACATGGCAGCATGCAGCTATCAACGCGTGCTCGGACGGAGAGTGCACATGTCTTAGTTGCAGAGGCGCTTGCGGAGCTTTCTGGCGCGGTGGTACGATGATGAAGGACTTTGCCTGTTGAATCTTCTGAAAATTGAAATACATAAAAATCCAAGCAACAAAAAGCTTACTAAGGTTGGGTCACTGAACCAAACAAAAACGCAAGCAGCAGATAATCCCTCTCACAGTTGGAGGTCAGCGTATGGAGATGTAGAGTAATCTCTTCAGGAGAGCCGCTGAGCCTTCTTCGGACTCCTGCCCCGTCTCCTGAGGCGACTTGCCGTGACTTGTCGTTGTTGTGGTGAATAAGTACCCCTTATGGCTAGTGGGCGTGATGAAAGCTAAAGCCCGATTTCAGGGGTGTCATGGTGCCGCACGCAGGCATCTAAGAGCCGAGATTCCCTCGAAAGTTTCGCGCTTACCCTTGGCCGCCTCAATGCAGCTTTTGCAACACAACAAATGCACCATTTCAGAGCATGATGCAGTGCGAAGAGGTTCTGACGGACTCGAGGAAGCAGCCTTTTTGCAGGACCGGCGCTGCTTGATTTGTTCAAGGGATCCTTGTTCGATGCACAGAGATGGTGAGAGGATTACTTTCAGTCTCAGGAACAGGCTGGACAAGTCCAGAAAAATTGCTTGTTCGGCCATGTGACTTACATGCCCACGTTTGCAGACAAGTTTTCGTACAGGCCTACCACGCCATGTTACGTTTCATCAGCCAGGCGCGGCGACCTTCAAGCTTGTTTTTATTTTCTACAAGGTCTTCAGCTTGAAGGGCTTTCATTGAAGAAGCCCACCAGAAGCTGTTGGGCTCTTGGGACGGCACTACATGATGAGGTTTTGAATGTTTCTGCTTTCTTTCATCGGGTCAAGGGCTTTGGACGCGGTAGGCAGTGCAATGCCTAGCTTGATGTGCATGTATTGATGGCAGTTCCGGTAATTTAGACGGCTCGCTGACTGAGCGGCTATAACTGGTGTCCGTGCTTTGAGGTGTCCGTCCATTTGAATTACTGGCTGGCAGCGGGCCACAGCTTGCAACATTTGAGACAGAAATGTGTTGCCACAAATGGGAAGACGCGAAGACTTGCGAAAAAAGCTGGGCAGCTAAGACCAGTGCACTCAGGATTGGGCAACTCCGGTCCGACGTCGCCCGCGGTGGGCTCATCGCTTGGGCAGGCTTGGACCTGGTCATGGTTTGCATTTCGCGGTAACCTCCGGCTGTACCCCGCTTGAGCTTCCGTTCAGCCAGGAAACTTTGGAGCAGCTGGCTGGTGCTGTCCTCAACTCAGGAAGAATGGCTACTCTTGGAACTTGCGCTAGGAAAACAAGCAGATCCGGATGTGTCCAGGCTCGGTCAACCTCAAGTCACACTGCCAGAGCGCTGTGCCTCGCAGTTTGCGCGGCTCAATGAGGCCCCACTTGTCAGAAGACAAGAAGAACCCAAAGGCGATGTAGTCGACACAACTTTCTATAGAGATCTTGAATGCAGAGCAAAACCTAGTTGTAGAGTTGGTTTCAAATTACAATCTCTCGTGAGTTTTGACCAGCGCAGATGCACTGACTCCACGAGTTGTAGTAACATGATCACGTGATGATCTCAGTCTCTCCGTGGTTGCTTCACGCGCATTTGCATCACTATGTGCCATAATGTGCCCTTCTCAGGAGCTGTGCAGATTGCTGGCATTCATCCAGGCCGGCGAACGTATAGCAATTGTGACCTTTCACTGCCGTGTTTTGATCCAGACGCGAAAATGTTGCCCACCAGCTCCTTGGACGCCAGGTCTCGTCCTTCGAGCTGCTCTCCTCGTGCCTGGACACTGAGGCAGAGCGCTGCCAAGCACTGACCAAGGCATCGCTGTGCAACCTTGCACATCACATACCTCAGTCTGCTACTGTATCACTGCATCAGGCGCTGCACAGCTTGGCTTGGCAGGCGGGTTATGAGGAAATTTGAGTGAAGCGCGTACCGCCCAAAGAGTGAAGCAAGTCGTCAGACGCGTGTGGCTGCTGCGACGGCAGCCGAGCTGTCTTCGGCTTCCACACGGAGGCTCGACTTGTGATAGCTTGTGCACGGGTCGCACCAAGCCCTCTTAAGTTAGAAGTGCCAGGTGGCTTGGCAATGCACGTTTATGGGATCAGGCCGGCAATATTTGTGAAATTGTTTCGCTGATCTGTATAGGGCTTGCTGGGCAGATTGCACTTCCGCTGGAGGTACGAGATTTGGAGGCGGTCTCCATGCGGAATACCCAGCAACAACGCTGATACCGTCAGGAGGATGTGATGATGGGCAATGTCTTCCGTCAAGTTGCACACTTAAGGCCAGACTCTTCCAATGGCAGCTCCAAGCACTCCGCATATTCGCAGGACTTGGGTTTCTATGTGCTGAAGGCATTGCTAGCGGCGGGTGCTTAAAACAGCTGATGTCGCAAATGGCTTGAAACAACTTAGGACACTCCCTTGGTCAGACTGTTGTTTTACGATCCTCGATGACTCTTTGCTGGGTCCAGGAGAGCTTGGTCAAGAAGGGCCGGCTCCAGCTGCAGCAGAATAATTTGGCCTTCGAGGCAAGAGTGCAAAGTATTCACAGCCGAAACATTTTCTGGGGACCTAGGTTTGTGCTGTGCTTGCACTGTTTCTCGAGCACCTGCTATGCTCCTGAAATGTCCTGAAGATTAGCTGTTGCACGATGTGTGGGCACATCTTGTGTGAAGTGTTGGGCTTCGGGTGATGTATGAAGCTATGGGAGAGGGGTTCCAGAGAAATGATTGTAAGGGGGAAGGAACCCATCCACTATTTGCGAAGAGTGCGCAGTTTGTTCTGTGCTCGGGGTTGGAGAAAGGTGAATAAAGGGTCAATGTTTTGAGGAACAGTCGCCATCGACACCCTTTGCCCTATCTCTCCTCCTCCTCCTGCAATCTAAACGAAACCCATCTGGTTGCGGCACGGAACATTGAAGTGGAGCTACATGAACTGCATGAAAGCCGGGCAACAACCTGGCGCAGGATGTTCCTTGAAACCATTCCTTGCAAGGTCATGGCAGACAGCATGATCAACTTCATGGAAGGCAATGGCCAGATGAGCCACATTCACAAGTGGTGGCCTCTCTACAGCGGCGCCACTCTGGGCGGCTCGGAAACAAGACATTTGTGAGTTGCTCATCAGCACCAACCCCGAGTCAGCACATTCGTGCAAGGTGCGCTGCTTCTTTCATGGAGGCTACGACTGTCTGACCGTTCGGTGAGAGAGACACTTGCAAAGCAAGCAAAGGAAGTGGTGATACAGTGCTTCGGCGGAGGATTGAATTTGCAAGCAGCGTGTTGGTGGCTTACTTGTTGCACTCAAGCTGAGACATGCTAAGGTTCCTGCGCGAGTGGATCGTGTCCCCGATCGAGCAAGTTGTTGAGGCAAGATCCGTAAGCAAGTTGCGAGCTTTCAAAGAATAATGACGAACACAAAACCGCTGCGTTTCTTCGACAAGGCCCTTTTCTTGCGCAGTCCAAAGGCCTCTTGGCAGAGAGAGGATGTCGGGACCGCTTCAGAAGAACTGGAGTCTTGAGGATGACTTGCGCGTGCAGCTCCGGGATCTTAGGGCCGAAGAGGCCAGGCAAGTTCTGTGACCCTATGTTCACCAACCGTTCGGCTGAAAGAGCTTTGTTTCCCAGGAAACTTTGGATCGGATGGTGTCCGGTTTTGCAAAGTTTGCACGGGCTGAGTCGCACTTCAAGAGCGAAGCTGGAGGCCGTAAGAAGGGTTCCCTAGCGTTGGGTTTAGGGCCTGCTTGGAAACCTTGGCTCAAACAGAGGCGCTGGTGACGAGGAGCTCCCCGAGCGTTACTTCGAGTGGTCAATGACGCTGCTAAGCTGCCTTCCTTTATGTGCTCCTCATGTCCAGTGATAGCATGCCTTCTGCGCTGGTCTATTGCCGGAGGGTTTAAGTAAGTTGTGCGACGTTTCAGAAGCTCGAGGAAACCCATCAGCAATGTCATCACAGGACACCTGATGGAGCAACCTGGCTCCATGGCTCTCGGATTGTAACAACCTTTTGCACAGATCACACGGGTGCAAGCTCCAGGTCGTGCATGGTGCAGAGTCAGAAACTGAAGGACGGCCTTCGTGGTTGCTGCACAGTCTCCTGTTACCTGCGGTGTCTCTCTGTACTGCTCCCTAGCAAACCTTGTTTTGGAGAGTAGCATAAGATCATGAGGGCTAAGTGTGCAGAAGCAGAAATTTGAAGGTGTTGCTGTATGCCTCGCTGTACTCCATCGACGCAGTCATGACACAGCTGAAGTGGGATTTTGTCATGGTTCCGTTCTCAGAAAAGCTTGGTGTGTGGTATTTCCTTTTCTTGTGGCTCGTAGCCCAGGCAGGAGTGATGCCGATGACTCTACTTTGCTTCTCCGTATACTGGATAATTTCGGGGTCCAGGAGAAGGCGGCAGTTGGACTTCAGGCCACATGCACGTGAAAATATGCGCCATCCGCTGACGTGCCCACGCCTGGTTGTGGGCTGGTTAGGAAGAAGATGGTGCGGGCGCTCGCGGAGATGGACCGCTACCTGACGCCCAGCTTTAACAGAGTTTGCCGAAGAGAAGGGTGCTCAGTAAAGCTGGCCCCCACAAGGAACCGCAATATTCAGTCCTTGGCTCCACGCCACGTCTCCTTTGGCATAGCCCAGCAGCTGAGCCTTTGAGCTGCAAGCTATTGCGAATTGACAGCATTTCTTGGCCGATTCGTGGCGGAAGCAAGTGAGGCAGAGGCCAAAGCGTGCCGGTCAAGACATTGCTGCAGCAGGCGCGTAAAGCAGACACAAGCAGTGCCTTGCTCCAGCGACAAGTCACAGGCTTTGGGCCGGCAGCCAGACGGCGACGTGCAAAGTCACCTGAAGCCGCCAACCCCTGTGTCATTGCCTTCTCTCGTACCCTGGCAGAATTGCTTAAAATATGACCTGTAGTGGTGGTGCGCTGTGATAGCTGTGTGGCAGGCAGGATTTCCCAGCGAAGGCGGTGTGGACTTGGACAAGGCTGCCGGTGGGTCCATTTAATATTGTGACAGCTCTGGCAACAGAGAGTCTGGAGCTGCGAGCACAGCTCAACAGGTCGGAGCTGCTCTCTGCCACCTCGACACGTTGTGCCGACTTGCCTCAAGCATCCGCTTAGAGGACCATGTTTCGTTGGTGCATGCTGGGGGCGCAAACATTCTTCGTGCAGCGCAAAGGCATGAAGAAAGCCAGTTAGAGAACGGGTCAGGATGATTGATACACAGTGCAACTGAACTCCTGCCCTTGTGGCCAGAAGGACTCCGACTGGCGAGCGTTTCGGAGAGACATTCTTGACCTCTCATCACCAGAGTCAGCAGCCTAGCCTTGTGGAATTGCTTTTCACGCGTTTTGCCCTTGCAGGGTGCCTAGCCCGCCCCAGCAGGTTTGTGATGCGTCAATGAGATTTGTGAGCACGTTCGCTGGTTTGCTAATCTACTTCCGTACTTTCGGACGTTGCACGATGTCACTCCTGGACCGAAATCAGCATGCGCAAGGCCTTAATATGGCTCGCAGTGATACTATAGGATTGGCCCAGGCTGTCTGTCGCCGAGAAGCTCCACGTGGTTTCTGCAATGAGACATACGTATCACGTATTTGACCTTCGGTTATAGCGCGTGAAGCAAAATGGCTTGGCTAGATGCTTGCACTCCTTGCTCATGACAGTTTCTCCTACTTCTTACAGTGTTTGGAATAGGAACCGTGATGCAAGGAATGTGTGTGCAATCGTGTGCTCAGAAGATGGTGGACTACTGAAACGGTTTCACTTCAGCAACGCAGCGCATCACTTTTGCTGCTTATGCATGGGCCCATTGCTGTCCGTTTTGGCACCTTGGCTTCACTTGAGCTTCGTTTTCTCTTCGGTTTTGGCTTTACGAGAAATTGTTTAACCACTGCTTGAGGCCCTGCTGCAAGCTTCCAAACGGTTTCTTCGCCCTCCACGTTGCGTGCGTTTATAGCCTGCTAGGTGCTTCCGCGATGGCTTTTCGTAGTAAACTTGTGCAGAGCGCTTTCGCAAATGGAGTGTGGTGTTTCGAAAGTCTCGACAAGGGAGCGGCACATCATCGTGGAATACTCACTGAATAGACAGCGCTATGCTGCAGCTTCCGCGTACTCCTCCCGTGAAAGCTTTCGCAGGCTTCCGCGCACGCAGTTTTGTGCACATTCGAGCCTGAAAACCCGGAATTGTTTTCATACTTCCGCGTACTACAACAGTGCTAAAGAAAAACGGAAATCTTTTCAGCTGGCTCGGAGAGTGCCAGTGGAGGCCGTGCTGCTGAGCGCAGCCGTCGCCCATAAGATACAGAGTCCAGTGGCGGTGCTGGATGACAATGCCTCCGATTGTGCTGCAGCACTCCTGCAGAGACAGGCCTTGCTGTTAGCTGCACGGGTCAAATCACATGCAACGCAGCGCACTGGATTCAAACTGGCAATTTCTGCACTGCTGCACCATTGCCCATACCAAAGTAAGGGAAGCCCCACAAGAGTCGGGTAGCCAGCTAGGGTGGCATGCAAAAAATTGTGCACGGAATCGAAAGGATCAATTAGGATAGCACCAAACTTCCTGTTGGCAACGCGAAGAGTTATTTAGATCTTGCATCAGAGGCAAGTTCGTGTTTCAGCAGGCATGCCGGGCCCATTGAACTTGCTAGCAGGCGGATAAGGTGGAGCAGAAAGCCGCGAACAGCCCCAAGCTCAAAGAAGATGTTGAGTGGAGGCGCTCTTTCACATGGAGAGCCCATTGTGTTTCACGCAGATGACGTGCAAACCGGACAGGGCTCGCCAGATGGTCCTGCTGAAAGCCCAGGAGGAGGCAGTAGCGCAATCTTGGTCGAGGCTGTCGGGTTTCCTTTCGGGTTGAGTGCGCCATTTGCGAAGATCATGTTTTGTGAAGGCTGCTCGGCTGGTTCTCGAATGAAAAGATTCAGACGGCCATGGAGGTCCCACTGATTCGGCAATGGTAGCTCCTTTTGCAACAAGTCATGTTCTGTGAACTGCGATGTCGAAGATTGCGGCGCAGGGCCGTCCGTGGTTTCCTTCTAAGTGTCCTTCTAAGGCATGTGGTGTCAGAGCAGCTTCTAGATCGGGGCCTCACGACGAAAGACTGCCGCGTGTGGCTTGCCTGTAAGCAGCACTTGAAGCGTTTTGCTCTAAAGCAAAGCTTCAGGAAATGTGCGGCGCATTCTGAGGATTTTCTTGTGCCTCTTCTTCTGCCTGATATTGGTGTGCTTCCTTGCCGGCCGCCGACTTGCAGGCACAGAAACCTCTACTTTATGAGCTTGCACGTTCTCATCCTTTCCCCAAGTTGCGCACTGCTCCAGGTACCTGAGCTTACAGTTGTGCAAACGCCGAGTGAAAAGCTAACCCGCGCAGTCTTCGTTCATGTTGTTTCTGTGATGTTCATTGCACAAGGAAGCGTTGGGCCGTGGAGGCTGTTTTTGGAAGGCGCTGGCTCACCGAAACTGAACAAAGTCTGCCATGCTCGCTAAGAACCCACCCAACATTGTTAGCAAAGCGTACTAACAACACGCAAGTTTGCTTCATGAAACTTGAGATTGTTGCCCTCGCATCCCGGAATGCTTGTGCTCTATGCCATCGATGGCTTGAGCACGTGATGAGTGCAGCTGCTGACTTTGTAGAGGCCAGCTGCCCTCAGCCAAGGCTGTCCAAGGCTGTTTTGGTCTCGCAGGTAAAGACACCGTTCGCCCAGAAGCAGGGATCATGGCCCCGTACGCAGATCCTGGAGCCGCCAGCTCCGGCTATGGCCACGCCCATGCGAGGCCGGTGATTCTGGTACATTCTAGTGGTGTGGCTTTGTGACCTATAGTCTCGGCTTGGGGTGGATCTTATGGGCGCAGGCTTCGTGGCCAGCGGGATTGTCCCCGCGGCGATGCCTGGCAACGGCCATGTCTACATCCGCGGAGGAGCTCAAGCTGTCAGGTTTGCCTGGAATGCTCGCATGACAACAATGCAGGCACGCAATACTATTCGTTGTCGCCGACCGCCCGACCACCTTCAAAGCATGGAGGGAGCCAGCTGTCCACTGGGCGACCTGGCCGGTTTGCTCCGTCAGGCAAAGCTTGCTTCGAATTGTTCTAACAGCTAGTTGGGGAGTGTGCCTGCGGGACTGAATCAGAGGAGCTGACGGAAGATGCTTTCTGTCAACTATCCATGCCCCATGGACTAAGCAAAAACCGATCCCACCGCATCGCTGCGGGAGCCAGTAGCCTCTTTTGATGGGAATGCTGCATGTACCTCCCAGCCCGAAGACTCAAGAGCCGATGCAGCGGACGGTGCCTAAGAAGCAGGCGGGGCGTGCAAATTCGTGGTTGCGGCTTGCACCCAGGTGCCTAGCAGGGACGGCAGCGAGCCTCCCGACCACGCCGCTGATTTTGCGTGAGGCGGCCACTGACCTTGAGAATTGCACATACATGCAAGTAGATGCACATATCCTGTTCAAAAGGGATGGCCCTTGACTGGTGAGGGCAGACCCGCACCGCTGGAATCAGTGGACAGCACGCTTGCCTCCGTGACTCCTGTCCGGAGCTGGCAGCTTGGATCTAGACAGCGGCTGGGACAGCTAGGACTAGGAGGTAGGTACATCTTTGCAAGTCCAGGGAGCTGCTTCGTTCATCTTCCCAGGTATTCGCCATCACGAATTGAGGACAGCTATGCCGGCTTGGACTTTGCAGGCAAAGCACCTTCAGGATGCTTGGCATGAAGACACGTCAGTCAAGGGACGCAAGGTGCTTCACCTTCGACGGTAAGCTCGAGCCAACGTACGACCTGTGAACTCAGGAAGCTGCCGTAGTGGCCGCACTCCCCCACCAACGCCTCCTTCAGCTATGCGCAGGCCAGGAAAGCTGAACGTTGCTGCAGAAAGAAGCTTGTATGAGAAAGCGCTTCGGAGAGTGCGGCTATGCTTTGATGAATTGACAGTTTGCCATACTGATGCAGCCTTGGCTTTCAGAATCTCGCGATTGCATTTAGCAAGGCTGCCTTCTTAGGAGCGTTAATCATCGTTAATCCATTCCAGCAGGCACCTGCAGACTGAGCAAGCTATGTTACACCTCCCCATCCACTCTGCAGGATTTCTACGAAAGGTGCTTGCGGAGAGGCAATCCCGAGCAGCTTGTACAGCCAGCGCTTCCGTAAAGCTTTAGGATTTTTCCTCAGGCACCTGTGTCTGCTGGGCCAACAGCAGGTGCAGGCGAGCCTCTCAAGCATTTTCAAATTAAATGCCAAGTCACAGTGCATGCCCCACATGTTTGGACAATTGCTGCAGGTGTCGCTCCACAGCACCCGCGGGAGGCACGGAGTAATCATTGGGTTCACAGTGAGTGAGCTTGCCTTGACGAGGTGTGAGAATTGTGGAAGTGTGCCTGCGAGGTCGAGGCAGCGCAGCCCGCGGGAAGAGAGCTGATGCTGGAAGGCTGGTGGTGCCTATGGAGCAAGCATTGTAGTCATTGTAGCAAAAGGGACGCGAGCACTAGGCAGTCATGTCAGCGGTAGGCGTTTGGGCTTCAAAGTTGCGAGCAGTGCGGCACCAAGGAAAGCAGTTCGGTGCAGCGGTCCGATGGGATTTTCGGGAAGTGTTCTTGTGTTGAGGCCGAAGAAGAGAAGCTGGAGCTCCTCCGAAAGCTTGAGGCGAGGCCATGCCAAATGCAGTAAGATGAAACTCTTAAGACGCGATAAGATGCGCGGGGAAAATAGAGGTACGAGGGGCTTGTAATACAGTAACAAGAGCTAGCCGAAGATGAGAATGAGGCAGAGAACCGGCGGAATGTGGAGCTAGAAGGCGAGCGAAAGGCCGCTATCAGAGAAGCCAGCAGCTGGATTCGTCCCGGGTCTCGGGCAGTTTGGCATAGTCTGTTTTACAACATAATATGCAGAGTGTAATTAGAGTGTTCGGCTTTGTGCAACATCAGAGAAGGGACCTCCCCACTGGACAGGGGCTGAAAACTTCTTTGGATCGCATGGAGAAGCTGCTGTCCGCAGGGTGCCTAGCATTGCATTTGCCCGGCGTGTATCCTGCCTCAGCACGAACAGAACCTGGCTGCTAAGTCCGTGCGACGAGTTTTGCATCAGCTGCAACTGAGGACATGGCTGTTGCGTCACTGCCGCCGCAGGACGTGCATTCCACTTTGAGATCAGCCATTGGGAAAGTTGCCATACGGTTAGCGCAGGACGTGAGGGCTCTCTCTCCACCCTCCCTGCGAGCGCCAGATGCTCGGATTTCTCAGAAAGGCGGCCTAAGTCGCATCCTGGATGTCTTCACTGGATGTCGTGTTCCTGACTCGTTGCGGCGCAGGTCCTTCACCGAAGCCAGCGAGGCTATCCGAAGTCGAGGAGGCCTTAAGCTGCAGGAGCTGCACATGGTAAGGAAACAGCCCACAGTTGAGGCAGAGAGGCTCTGAGTCCACAGAGCGCACAGCCACACGTCTTGTCACCGAGCCGCTTCGGCTGGAGCAGAGTGGGCCAGCGAGTGGGCTCGGAGCCCAGCGCACCCAGAGTGGGCCCATCAATCGGCGCAGATTCGCAGAACCTGGGCCTTTTCGTGGCCTCTTTGTGGTTCCAATGGTCAGGTCTAACATCAAGCTCAGCGAGAGCAAGCCCCAGTCGCATCAGCCAAAGCTGGAACGAAGGCTGAGACAAAATAGCTCAGAAGCCTACAGCTGCAAGCCTACAGCTGCAAGCCTAATAGCTTTAACACCGTAGCAGAATGATTTTGCGAATGTCGTGAAGTGCAGCGGCCGGGGTATGGACTGTGATGTGCTTCAAGTATTGCACCAGCTCTTGCTAAAAGATACGAAAACCAGTCAAGTCAAAACATGGCAGGGTCTGTGTTGGGCTTTGACTCGCTGTGCTCGAGCCATGGCAGACGAGATCCTAGCAACTCAGAAGCACTTGAAGATATTCATTGAAGATGTGGGCTTGCAGCGGTAGTCAAGCTCAGACCTGTCTTTGGAAGGCCCATCTCTGAGAGGTGACTTGTCAAGCCGGCGCCCCATGTCCAATGCGTTTGTGCGTTTGGGGAAAGTGTAGAGATCAGGCTACTGCCTGGCACCCAGCCCGCCTTGGCCTCTGACTCTCGGATTTCCTTCGCACTTCAGCAGCAAGACGCTAGAAGTTGGTATTGACTTCGTTCTGTCAGGAGCCGAGAGGAGCACAAGTTGGGTTTCGCCGTTCAAACGTGCTGGCACCTCACAGAACTTAGATTAAGGTTTTCACTGTACCTGTACCCCTGGTACTCAGAGCTATGAAATGCAAGGTCGTCCCAGGTCTTCCGAGGTGTGCAGCGGACAGCCTGTGCGTACTTGTGCCAACTGTCTGTCAACTTCTTGCACAGCCCAGATTTGCAGGTAACTCGGGACAACGATCGCTATAGCCTCGTCCGGATCTGCCAAAACCTTCCGCGAGGAACCTAGCTTCAGTGGCCACAGCTTGGCCTCAATTCTTGAAAACTTTCAATTTTCTTGTTAATACCTGCTGAGACCGCAACTGAGCCGCCTGAGATCACCAGATAAGCTGCTTGCATCATGATAGTCCAAAGCTGACCTAAGTTGCAAGTGAGCTGCACCAGTGTAGGAGTCAAAAACATGTGAGCAGCGTTACTAGGTGGCCCAAGGGCTGTGAACGGGAGGATATCAAGTTTACCAGAATTCCCTGCAGGCATGCCCTCAATCATAAAGAAGTTCAAGGAGCCAAAGCGGAGTTCGGCGGACCTGGGATTGAAGCCGTATCGCTTTTGATGTTGCCTTGGTCAGTCAGGAAGCAACAGAAACACTGCTCATATGTGGCTGCTGGGTCAAACAAGCCAGCCCATTTTGCACTGCAGATGGGGCTGTGCAGCACCTCGTGAGCACCCGAGGCATTGTCAATGAACCGTTGCATGGCACATTTCGGCCACCAAAAAACAGACGATGGATGGCACAGACGCAAATGAAATCTTACGAATGTTCTACATTTTGTTTTACCTTTTTTTTTTGTATATAGCTCCTCTTCTGTGTAGTGATTCTCCGTCGACATGGAGCAGATCGAGCATGGCAGTGGAGGATATTTTGGCCCAAACTAGTGGTGAGGCCGAGGAACATTGTCTTAAATGGAATGCATCCATCTGACTTCACCTTTGGATGCGAGCAGGTTACAGCATGCAGATCAGAAAAATCATCGACATCTTGGCACGCCATGGAAGCCTTCACCGTTTGCAACCCCAGCAACCTGCTGGAGCCTGTGGACGTCCCGGCGCAGCTCTGGTTTAGGCACATGCTACATGCTGAAGCGCCTTGCACACAGACCTGGCAGCCATTGGCAGTTTCATCCTGTCAGGCTTTGCGATGCTGAAAACGACCTTGCAGCTGCTGTGGAGCGATGTGATGTCATCCGCAGGCAAGGATGTCATCATGTCATCTCTGGGAAGCAGTTGGGTCCTGGTGTCAAGAGCAGCTTCAGGGAGCGGGAACGAGGCCGCCATGTCCGTGCAAAGAGAACGGAAGAAGCCGAGGACTGGACTCACGTCAGCGCGTTTACTTGCATTGTGCGAGGTCCTGCATTAATTGATAGAAAGTCGTGAGGGGATTTGTAGGATTTATGCTTGCCTTGTTGACGCCGCCTGAAGGTATTTGCTGGCTGGTGCGAGTGCATGCATTTCGTTGGTGGGGCAGCCGGGGGAAATGTGTTGGCACTAGATTTGTTGTCGTGCGCTGTCGTCCCTCCGCAGGACGACCTGTACTCGGCCAGTACTTGCCTTGGTGGGTGTGCCTTCTGTAACAGATCCACAGCATGGCAAGGTGTAAGATGTCAGTTGAAGTGTTCAAGGCCTGCACTTTGTGCATTTACAGCGTCACTTGGGCGTCTTTGTGGGAGAGCCGTCCGCAGAGGCGCGAGCCAAAAAAGCAGCATCGATCGGCACCAGCTCGCCAACATGCTGTGGCCATGCCAGGAAGCGAGGAGGGCCCTTGCGCGACGAGCAGCTTTGGCCGCGGCCGAGCTGCTCCGGCTTGGCCGGAACCTCAAACGCCCAGAACCGCAGAAGCCCAGAACTCATGAAGCAACGCCGGCTTGCTCTTTGGAGGTAGCCGAGTTGGCCTCCCAGCAGATGTTTGGCGACGCGTGATTCGGACGGCCCTTCCGCTGCAGAGCTTTGGCTTCGAGGAGGGTGCGAAATTGCGCGTTTTGAGCCTTCGGTGCACACAAGATTAGAGCACAACGGCAAGTCAGTCTATTAGCTTCGGCAGCACAGGACAGGATGTTTGTTTGCATCTCTGTTTTGCATGTCTGCATGTTCAGAGCAAGGGCTCCGACTTTTTCATTCAACTAAAGCTTGCTAAACCGGAGTCTGCCGTGGACTGGTGTTTACAAACTTTGGGAGCTCGCTGAGGATTCCCCAAGCTGTCCGAACTGGCAGCAACGACGGGACTGAAACACAACATGGGTGCGAGTGCTGACATTTCATGCCGGTCTGCCCGGGCATTCCGCATTGACAAGAGTCCGTCTGATGATGAAAGAGGTTCTGTGCATTATGAGCTTCAGAAGCTTTAGTTCTTGAGTGCGGAAGACACAACTTCTCCGGCACCCCCCATCTTGAATTTCTCCGCCTGAGACAGGCCGTGCACAGACCGGGGGCATCCAAGCAAGTTTGATTCCCCCGGTCGAATCTTCCCAGCAGAATTCATTCTGTGGTTTCTGTACGGTGCAGGGCAATTCTAAATGCTCAGCGCCACACATGTGTGCATAGTACAAGCTTGCAGCGCTTGATCAGATCATTTGCATGGTGTGCTGAACTGTCGGACAGCAGGAATGTGCAAGATCTGTAAGAGAGCCACCATGCAAGTGTTTTGTCTCCGCTTATTGATTGCCAATTAGCCTCAGGAGAGAATGTGCAGCTCTGAACTGGGACTGAACCGGAATCCCGGATGATCAAGCAGTCGCCGTGCGACTTGCAAAAAGCTTTGTTAGCCGACCATGTTCTGGTGCATGCCGTCCTGACTTGCAGAATTACTTCGGACGCAGCTGCTACCGCATGCTACCGCCAGGCTAAGCCTGAAAAACAATCAGCACTGCTTGCATACAGCCGGAGTCAAAGAGCAGGCATTTGTGAAATCCCAACGTCTGCCAATCGACAGCCGCGACGGGTGCGTAGCTGGCATGGCACCGAAGCCAAAAGGCAGGTCATCCCCAGAACCTTGGCTGCAGGCCTAAGGCAGAAGGTGCTGCCAGCTTTGCTTGTTTCGGAAGTTGTGCCATTTTTGTCATCAGGCCTTGGTTTCGTGCGTGAACGAAGGCCCGCTCGCCTACACCTACGGCCGCTGGCTCCGGAGCTGCTGCGGTTCACGCAAAAACTAAAGGCACAGCACTGGGCACTGGACCAACCTGCCAAAGCAGACTGGCAATGGAACTTTTGACAGGCGCTGCCAAAGCCAAAGGCAAGGCCAAGGCTAAAGCGAAGGCAGCGCCGACGCCAGAGGCAAGGTACAACTGCCAGCTACGCTAGAACGTAAGCTGTGTTTGTGACACTGGCACGGCCGTGTCTGGGACGTGACGTTGCCTGCGCAGGAATCCGCAGCACTTCGGCTGCAGTGCCTCGCTCGGGGCTTCCTGTCGCGCCGACGGGCAGCTCGCTTGCGAGAGGAGAAGCAGTGCCTCGGAAATCCAGATGCCTGCAGATGCATGCGCGATTTGCGTGCGCAATTGGCGCTCAGCACAGCCCTGAGGCGCCAGGATGCTGAGCTTGCCGCAGCGGTTCGCGCAGCAGAGCTAGCAGCATTGCAGGCAAGCGGGCTTTAAGGGGTTTTCAGCTTGCTTGCTGCTGCTGTTGCACGAAAGTAACAGTTGGCTTGATTCAAGGCAGGCAAGAATGCCTCCAGCTGTAAAGTTCTTGTCCTCATGCAGAGGCCAGCAGCCTTTCAAAACCCGCAGTTGATGGTAAAGGCACAAGCAGAAGCAGCACCTCTCTCAACCGAGCCCAGATGCACCAGTCCAGACTGGCTTTTGGGGACTAGGCTTCAAGTCATATTATTCGTGGGAAAGTTGCCATGGGCTCGCTGCATGATCTGATTTGCGCGCTCTTGAGGTGGAGCGTCGGAAGGCCGAGCAGGAGCGGACCAAGCAGGAGGAGAAGCGCAAGAAAGCACAGAAGCTGTTGTCGGAAGCCTGGCAGTGCAAGCTGAAAGGAAGCAAGTACGTAATATTTTATGCCTTTGCTTTGATGGTTTTCCACTTCGTTCAGGTCTTGAGATTGACAGGAGACTGACCGACTGACCATCTCAGGACACCAAAATGGCTTTGGAAGCGGCTTTTGACGGTGATGTGGATGCGCTCCTGAAATTGCTGGATTCAGGTCGGGCGTAAAGAGTTTTCCTTGTCTTCTGGCTTGGCAACTACTTCTGGAAGAGGCATGCCCGCCGATGCCGCCAATCCGGCGGGCATCACACCACTCAGCGAGGCGGCGGCTGCCGGAAAGGAGGAGACCGCGCAGGTGCTCCTGGAGAGGAAGGCGGGGTTTTCAGTTTGGAGATAAGCACAGCCCACTCATTCCTGTATCAGACTGCATCACTCTTTTGCTACCTGCACATCCTGCACGAAGCACGAAGACATCTTTGTGTCTTTCACAAACGAAGGCACCTAAGAATATGCACATCCTGCGCCGTGAGCAGGCAAACCCAAACAGCCGCGGCGAGTTCAACCGAACACCTCTGTGGAGAGCCGCGTACAGTTGCTCGGCGTTACAGCCCCTTGGACTGCACGCGAAAGACATGGCATACCCATGATGAGGTCGGCACAGCAATCTGGTGCCACTTCTGCTTGAAGCAGGTGCTGATCCCAGACTCCGCCAGGGCCCCTAATTCTTGCAAAGATCGGGTGCGCAGCAGAGGGCAAGCTTGGCAGGAGACGACGAAGGGCAAACTCCTGCCGACGTGTGTGCGCAGGAGTGGTTTGTGTGAGAAGTCTGGGCAGGAAGGAAGATAACGCAGTTGCTTTTGGTGAGATGTCAGCTGTACAGGATGAGCTGTGCGAGCTTTTTGCAGCCTGGGCAGCCTGGCCGCACAGTCTGATGCACTGCGTATACATATATGTGTATATATATATATATTATATACGTATCTCTCCTTTGCAATTGTCAAGTCTCCTGGATCAAGTGTCCAAGGATGTTTCGCGTACTGATGAGCTTGTGGAGGCCTGCAGTGCTTTCAGCCTCGGAGGGCAGATATGTCGGGCACATGCTGCTTGAGGATTTTCAAGACTGGGTGGCGGAAATCCAGCGCCAGGAGCGGCCCGCGGTGGATAAGAAGGATTTGTGCTGACAACCCGAGATATCACAGCGGCAGGAACAGCACCGGCAAAGGGAGGCAATGCGATATGTGGAAGAAGCTTTCGAGGACTCATGAAGCCAGTCAGTTCAACCTCATCACCGGGGTTGAAGGGCTCTAATGACTTGCGAGGCAGCTGTCAAAGCCTATGAGGCCACCCAGATGATGCTTGCAAAGGCCAAGGCACAGATGCGCAACCGAGAAGCTTGGCAGGAATTTAGTGGAGCGTTTTCGGGATGAGGCTCATTGAACCCAAATCGCCCGATTGTTCGGTTTCAGGCGCTGTTTTTTCTGCAGTTTTTTTGGTTGGTAAAACTGAGGGCCTCAATTTCTTAACCAGTGATGTCTTAAGTCTTCAGCCGTGCCACCACTGCCGATGTACAATTTTGCTTGCATCGTGAGAAAACACGCTCCACCTATTTCCCTGGAGGAGAAGGAGTATGGTATGAAGTTGGCGGCGGGTCACAAGGACGCATTTGGAAAGCTAGATTTGGCAGAAGCACGCCTCTCTTCCCATTCACTCCTCTGAAGACCTTCGACCTTTTAATCCTTTGCTTGATGCAGGATGCTGTTGACGCCTGTGCCTCTGCTGATGCAGCTTTACAACGAGCCGAGGCAGTAGCTTTAAAGCGGTCTCGGTCTTTGAGATTTGTGTTTGTGTTCTGTGGTGCTTGTTGGGTGCCCTGGTGCCGTGCAGGCTGAAGCTGCATCTGCTCAGCGGGACTTCGATGAGGCCCAGCGCCGGCGACTTGCCGCGGCCGAGGCCGTGGGCGCTGAGGCCCAGGTGGGTCCTGGGCGCCTAGTGCCCGCGACGCGGCACAATGTTGATTCGAAGCATTTGGGCAACCACCCCAAGGTAAAAGGCATAAGCCGACATAAGCTAACTAGTCTCCCGTGTTCGCATTGTACGCCCAGGTGGCGCAGCTGAACAATGTGCTGCTGCGCGACCTCGGCGAGCGCATTGCACAAGGTGGCCCATGGCCGCTGGTGCTGGATCCGGGGGACGTAGCGCAGAAGCTCATCCAGTCTTCGGCCCAGTGCAAGCTCCAGCTGCCTTATGTTGAACAACTTGAAGGGTAATTACAAACGATGAAATGAAAAACAGTGGCAATTCACATAAGTACGCTTGACGTCGGAACCCATCTGCACGTGTCTACGATCAATGGACTTAGCTGGACCCTGACCCGAGTACCTGTACAGGGGTCAAGTACGGAATATGAATTTGCATCTATTTTGGGTCCTGCCTTGCATCCTTTGATATGGGTTCGCAATCCAGAAGACAAGCTGTAATATCACCATCTCAACCTTGGAAACAGCAGGAAAAAACAGCAGACATAAACAGCCTCTAAAGCTCCGACTGTTCGAAAGTGTAGGCTGCAAAGCGGGGAAGAGTAGATTTGGGGTTGGCAAGGGAACGCACTGTCTACAATGACTGCAAGCGGCTGGAATCTTACAGATTAGCGGGACAGCAGGACAATTTACCATGCGTCGCCTTGACTGATCTCGTTTTGCTGCTGGCAACAGTTATTAAGCACCTTGAGATGCGTAATGACCACTTCCAAAGCCGACAAGGGCTTCCAACGTGCATCATTTGTGCGAACCTGTGTCGCAACAGGTTGGTCGCTTACACAAATAGAGGATCAATGCAGACAGCGTTCTGCCCTTTGTGCAGTCAGAGCCGGAACAGAACAGCACGACCTTTGAGATCGGTCAAAGCATGCGTACGCAATAAACGATACATGCACAACAGGGGACAATGTCAAGCACTCAGACAAAGGACGGCTTCTCACGCAGCGATACAACACTCACCATGCACCATTGAAAGCTTAAGATGGACCATTGCACATAGGAACGGAAGCAGCCGCAACGCTGGAATGGCAACACACGCTTTACAAGCAGTTCCCGAAGCAGTTATGAAGCTAGTTTCGTTGCAATCTACGGGCAACATATGCAGAAGGACTAGGCCAGCTCACAACAAAATTTGACACATTCCACCTGCATGCTGCAGAGCTTTGAACTCGGTGCGCAGAGCGTAAACAAACTTGCAGGTATTCAGGAAGTTCGCTCCTCAACTTCTTCCGGTCGGGTGACATGGAGCCTGAGCGTATTCGCATCGCTTTACTCAACATGATCCGAGGAGGCTGAAGATGAAACATGGACTTCGAAATAGTCAGTTACTGCGGGACTACCATGGTAGGGTCGGGTAGGGTAGTGCTTGCAGCACAGGCGGCGTGTTGGCCGTGGATCTTCATGGCTTCGGGGCTGGAGTTGGCTTAGAGCTGCTCTCACAGCCCTTCGAAAACGTGAGGGAAAACCTCTTCCAAGATCTTTGCAGCCGGACGCTGCTGCAAGCGGCCAAGGGCAAGCGCATGCCGGAGTTCTATGATCTTGTGAGGAAGGCCTTGGCGTTTGCTCAAACGGGACTTGCCACGGTAGATGGTGGATGTTGACAAACTTCTGGCATGAACTTTTCATGGGAAGCCTCAAAAACTGGCCTCCGACTATCACCTACATGAAGCGTTGCTCATGATTCCAATCCAAAGGAGGAGCGACAGGAACGCTTCAAGGCCCAAATGTTTGACGACAAGATGATAGCCTGCTGCCCAGAGTTCCCTGACAAAGTTGAGTGCACAGCTCACACACACTGAGATGCTGCTAAGGCTAGGTTTAAGTTCATGGTCCTCACATCAACAGAGCTGCCGCACAAAGAACTGCTGGAGCACTTCGATGTGATCCGTGTTGTACATGCTTCAGCGTAACTCCGCCCATTGCCAGACTGAGTTTGCTGCGCCGCAGATGGCATCCTTGCATGAAACATGCGTGTGAGTATGTCCACTGTAGCCCTGACCTGGGCAACTGAAATGGGCCGGTTTTCCAGCTTGCCGTGTCCAAGTGGCCGGGCAGAAATGTGGCCCAGGCCAGAGGCAGGCAAGAACGAGCTGAATCCTTTTAAGGAACTCAGGCAGCAAGGCCAAGAAAAGCATGAGTCACATGAGTCGGAGAGTCTCGCTTCACGGTCCAGCCCTCCCTTGATGTGATTGACCTACACTGGCTCAAGACTTGGCAGTGGACATGAAGGAAATGACAGCCAGGGCAGCTGCCTCAGCAAGTTTGATACAAGTCTCTGTTGCTGTGGTCAGCTGCAGCTGCAACTCTGAGGAGCCTGGCAACTCGAGCGCTGCAGAGGTGTCTCAAAGTGTTATGGTGATATGCAATCTCGCGGGCTCACAATTAATTCCAAGTCAAGCTGAGTTCCGAAAAGTTACTTCGGAATTCATCAGTGCACCTGCTTTGGCATAGGCGGCACGGCCGGCATCACCTTTAGACGAGGCGATCCTGCCTTGATCGTTCTCGCCTCCCTGCAGTAAGCAGCGTGTTTGGAGTTTGGCACATCATTCCTGGCACCTTGCGTCCGTGAGGCGGTGGCCAACACAGATGCCAGCGGCAGCCCCTGCTGGAACCTGAGTTCGGAAAAGGAAAGGCTGGAGTTTGTGAGTTAGCGGAGGGTTTGCTGATCGATTGTTCAGAACACGCGCATGGCCTTCTGCCAAGAGCCACTTGAACTACTGCAGACAAGGCTCCAATGCCAGATTGGAGCACCAATCTCAGGGGTTCATCTCCAGGCGTGATGGCAGCAGAATTGGATCCTGTGCCATGCCGTGTGAGCCGAGGCAGGAGGCATCAATCTCCAAGCCTCCAGAGGAGGTCAGAGCATCAGTGAGTCTGCTGAGGAAGGCGTGTCAGCGTACTGCCCAACCTCTGACTGGATCAACTGCCAGGAACTGACAGAGGCAACTCCGCCAGAAACGCTGGAGGTGCGCGCCTCATGTCAAGCAGGTAATTCCGAAGCCTTGGAATCCTCCCCATAGAGGTGGAGGTGGCTTGAAACTGCTTAGGGCTACTTACTTGTGAGTTCGCGGGGCACCCCAGATGCGGGGGGATTTTTGCTTTAGATTCTTGCCTATCCTTCGCAGGGCGTTGCAGCAGCGGCCTGGAACACAGCATACCAGATGCTTCTATGGATCACTATGGGTCATTATGGCCAGCATGCAGACGGTAGAGTTGACCTACCATGTCTCCAGAAGCACGTAGCATCACCAGTTTGAGCCAGAGGCTGAGCCACTTCGAAGGCCTCGCCGAGGGTCCCTACCTCAGCCTGGAGCTAGTCGTAAGAGCAACATGAGGGTATCGACTCCAGAAAACAAAGGTCCAACGCAATTATTGCCTGCCTGGCGTGTACAGTCAGCTGTTGCCTGCGTTCCTCAGGCCTTCGACAAAACTCACAGTCATTCTCATAAGCGCCGTCCTTATGATTTGATGCTTTGTGAGCACCCCCTCACTCTAACAAAGTTCGTATATCTATATATATATATATACATTTCTATATTTGTGCATACATACATTGTAGCGATGCTTGTTTGGGGGTTCGCGTAGGGATAAGAAGGCTTAGGCATTCCTGCTCGCGTGGTTCGTGACTCCCATCTTGCGACAGTAGTTGCACATGCTGTTCTGGCCGTGCTCAGCCAACGTAGGCACTATTTCAAGTAACGTGTTTTCCGAATTCCCTGTTGCTGGAGGTGTTGTGCTGATTGCCATTGCTGCAGAGACATGCCCTTGGACACATAGGAGCCACGGCTTGGCAAGTATGACCACGCTGTTCCCAAGGCTTTGGATCATGAGCATGCCGCAAGTTCCGCTCTTGATTGATAAGCTCTACTTCGCAACCGTGCTGCATTTGACCACTACCAGGTATCCTCCGGAATGTGGCCAATTGAACTGCAAGCGTTTGAATTAGCAGGCAGAGAGTCTGGTGGCATCTCAGGCAGTGGCACTGTGCTTTCAGCTGATCATGGTGCAAGGGCCTTACCAAACTAATTCAGGTTTTGATTCGGTCGACGTGATAGTTGCCAACGAACTGCTGAGGCTTGCGTCTCTTCCTCTGCCAGAGCAAGGTCTCTGTTGCCTGCGAGGACCATGCGAGGGCCTGGTGCCACAATCTGAGTTTTGTGAGGTCTTCGGAATGGCCAGCCTCCGCTGCAGTCTTCCCACCGTTTCCGTCCAGACTTTGGCTCAAGGGCAGAAGAACTGCTAGTCCTGGGCTCTTGTACAAGCGTGAAGGAGCTTCAACAACAACGCCCAGAGCACGACCCCACAACACCAACCCCTTGCAGACTTACAGCCAAACCTGCATACTCCAACAGGAACACTCTTAGACTCTTAAATGTCTGATAAGGGTGGATGTCAGCTGACATGTCGCACCCTGCAGCAGATACAGGTTTCGGCGAGTCAGCCGCTGAGATGCAGAGACCTCGTGAGTGCCAGGCTCTCCAGAAGCGAAAAGGGTCAGCTTCGAACGGAGGAGGCACTGTCGTGTCTCAAAATTGCAAAAAGCCCCAACTCCGAAACCAGCCATACATGTCAAGAAGCATGTTTTCGTGCGAGGCCGCTGCACCCAGACCGCTTCTTTGCGCTGCTGCGCAGGCGTTTTGGGCCATTAGATACTGGGCAAAGTTGACAGAATCGCTTTTACATGCATCTTTTGGCACGATACATGCAAGAATCGGGCCATTCCAGATTCCAGATCAAATCAGGATATGGATTTATCCTGGACCGTGCACGCAGGGCAGGTGCCTCAACCAGGAGGACTGAAAGGAAGCACTGCGCGACTCCGGAAAGAGCTTTGTGGGGATTGTCTAGGGCTCACCAGTCATCTTGGGCAGCAAGTGCTGTCGCTGGTCCGACGTTGTACGTGATGCGCCTGTGGCGAAAAGCCCGCAAATCTGGGCAGGGCGTATATAAGCATGATTTCCCTATGACCACATGACCAAGATATTCAAGCAAGAGCTGCAGCAGACTCATTCCTCGCAAGATGGAACAAGTACATGTTACTGTGCGAGTCAGACGACCCGTCAAAAGTGTTGACTCGTTTTGACCAGATTTGTCGTTTCAAAGGGCCCTTTAGCGCGTGTTCTAGATTCCATACATCCCTGCCGCAGGAGGCGAAGTGCACATCCGCTTTGGGCGTGGGACCTTGTGGTTCATCGGCAGTGATGATGTACGGGGTGAATGGTTCTTCAGCGCAGATGGGTGCCCAGGCAATTTTCACGGCAAAGTGATGGTGAGATCTTGTAGGGTGTAAGGTTGACAATCCTCATGACTTGGGATTTTGTCTTGCATGCTGGCCTGTACTCCCAAGTGCATTGCTAGGCCTACAACACGTACAAGTAGCCAGCTCCTCTCAATCTGAGTCTCATGCAGGCATGCCGTGGCAGATGCTTTGTTCTGAAGTTCGAGCAAGCTTGTGGGGTCATGCAGGAAGCCTCCTATAAATGCCCTCGGGAAGCCTGAACCTTGTAATCTTCGGGGCAGTTTGCATTCTGAAGCCCCGGTGGGCAGGGCGGCACCTGGTCCGCTGCGGAGAGCCCTGGCCATCTCCAGGACACTGGCTGCCCGGGATTGTAACATTGTACAGCCTGAGGATTTGGATATGTGCCTTTGGGGGGCGGTTGACTGATGCATGTTTCATATGTTTCTATAGAGGTCGAAGCCATGTCCCGTCTACACCAAGCTATAGAACCTTCTCAATCGGGCTCGAGAAACACAACAGAAACGCTGAAAGAACTGATTGGCCTGGGTGGTACTTGAGCGATTTTGTGGTGTGGTTTGGTGGAAGGGGCTGCTGAAGCAGCGGCCGGGTCCCGGCGGGTGGACTTGTTCGTGGAGGCATTGGGCAGCCCTGGAATTGCACTTGCAGATTTTAGCATGTTGCCTCGAGTTTCAAGTCATGGAAGGTGAGCGGTGCCGATGCCGATGTCAATGCATGGAAGGCCAGGCCTTTGTGTAGTCGAAGCTAGGGCATTGCAATCCAGAGCTTTTCGACCATGCGTTCAGAATCTGGCCAAGTTGAGCAGAAAAGATTTAGCCCCCAAAGTCCAAAAAGCATCAAAAAGCTGAGGCGACATTTCTGACTGAGCTCAACGACTGCCTCATGACGAGAGCAGAGGCTGAGACGGGCAAAGCACAGAACGGAAGATAGATTTGACGTGGTGCGGCGCTGCGTGACAGCCGCTTCCTGTGTAGGCTGTAGCCCTTGAAGAGGGCGACACGCGCCTTTTGGACCCCTACTGCGAGTGGGAGGATTGAGCCATTTGAATCTGAGATGTTAGCAATACCAAGTTTCACTTGGCAGGAGCTGCGGGCCACACATGACGCTGGCCAAAGTTCAGACGTGTCGAAGAGCAGTCGTGGTGTAAGTTTGCAAAGGGCCTCATTCCAAGGAGAACTTCTCACCGTGGGTGGTGCATTGGTGGCCGGTCCTGCGGCTGCTTCACAGCATCACCAGCTTGGTGGGTGCGATCCCAGGTGCCTTGGTGATGTCTAAATTGCCACAAGCGTCTCAAAACAAATCGCGATGCGTGCATTTGAAGCTGCTCTGACAGCCGCTTTACACTGATTTAGCCCGTAGCTTCCGTAGCTTCCATCATCTTCCATCCAGTAAAGCAGAATGTGTCTGAACATGTTTGAACCATTGCGCATGCCGAGGCTTCAGCATACTTCACTCGTTCGGGAGATCGCTCAGCGGACGCATGCGTGCGAGACTGAGCTCACCCCCCTCCCAGAAGAAGTCATATTAGTGACTGCACTCAGGTGCCTGGCCGCGCATCTTCTGATGCTGACTCTGTGTGCTTCTTGAGCAGCCTTGGACGATCTGTCAACTTTAGTTGATAACGAAAACCGGGGTGGAGTAGTTCGAAACAGAAACAGGATCCCCACCGTTGGCAGAAAATTTGCCACGGCGGAGATTTCTGCACCCCCCGTCACTTCAAGCTAGGCCGAATCCGTTTGTGGCCTGGCGTGATGCTGTTAGATTTGTTCGTCATCTGCGCGGAGCAAGTGCGGAGCATGAGAAAAGTTCCAGCAATGGCAAGTTGCCAGCAGCATGGGTTATGAGCGCATGCCTTCTGCGAGCGACGCTGAGTTCGAGGAGAGACGTTGGTGCGAATTCGAAGCCGGCTGCTGGATGTGGCTCACTGGGCATTCGTCGTTCGAAGCTCGGCACCGGGTTGTTGCCATTCCGTTCTTGGAAGCGGCTTCTAGCATGAAGGAGTGCAGCACAAGGGGAGAGGAGGAGAAGGAGCCAGAGGGGGAGGAGTAAGAGGAGAAGGCATCGTACACGATCCTCGCAATGAGCATAATGAGTACTATGCACGAGTGGCCAATCCTTAGACATCAGTGCATGCTGCCATATCATCTGCCATGGACTAAGCAGAGAGAACCTGGAGTGTACAACGTGCAGGTCAGAGCAATTATGGGTTTCTTCCCTACTCTGACACAGCATTCTGACGGAAGCAATCCATAGAACCACGGAAGGAGCAGGAGGAGGAGGCAAATAGAAGCAGAAGATTGGATGAAGCATGACGAGAATGAGGAAGCCAAAAACGAGCGAAGACCAAGCAGAACAGCACTAACAGATGCCGGGAGAAGGATAGAAAGAGGTCTCCAAGCTTGGCCTGTGATCAGGTGATGTCCTTTGGCCAGACGCCAAGCGGTGTGGTCGTTCACACGCCACGCAAGTGGTCACAACCCGCTATGATGTGATGATGGTTTGCATGACGAGGTGGTGCCATAGTCCTGCGAGCCCCCGAATCTTTGGCTTTCACCGCAGCCATTGCTGCTGCGTGCTTGGCTCAGCTGGGGACTGGGGATGCACTAGAATTATCGAACGATGGGCCAGAACCTGAACGGCAAGCTGAGCAAGTGTGCGCATTTGTGATCAAAGTTGGAGCGGCGCAACGATAATGGAGCAATGATCATATTCATAATGTTGATCGCAGAAAGCCGGGGTTGGCAAGCCGTTACCCCCTCGCTACTCAGCCCAAGTGTTCTCTTTAATGATCTAGGACCCGCGTGGTCGATCTTCCCTGAGGTTTCGTCAGCAACCTGCTGGGCAATTCAAGTTTGCTTTCCTTCTGAATGGGTTAGGTTCCCATTGTTCGTCATAGAGCATTCCAGTCCTAACAAGCAGTTGAATCTGCACCTCGCTCTGAAGCCCTGTAACAGATAACGAAGCCAAGTGTTTTACTGGGACCAAGGATTAGGCTGGGGATGTTCTTCCTACCCCAGTTGTGTTGGGCGGGTGCTGAACGTGTGAGATGATTGGCTAAGCGCTGACAATGTGGCTGAGGGCACTCGCGTTCCGGCTCTCGATGAGGATGGGTTCGTTGTTCGGTTAACTGGGACGCTTGGGATGTTCTGTGACGAAGACAGATCGCGAACCTCCTCAGAGCAGATTTTAATAACACCTGGATTGCACCAGGAACCGATGCATTATCACATCTGTGGCAAGGGGCAGTTCCTTGCATGGTGCCCAGCTGCAGGCGGCAGTTTGGAGGCTTGCTTTGTCACGCCTGCATGGTGCCCATTTCTTCCCCAAGGCCAAGAATATCCGGGAAGACCGTCACCAATTTCTTCCTTACACTTTTGGTGGTGACTGCCAGGGTCCAAAACATTTAAGCAAATGCGTCTTGCATTCAGCTGAGAGGCACCTAAGACAGACACACCTGACTTCTGAACTTTGAGGTCATCCGGCTTCTGTTACAGCTGGCTTTCGGCCGTGGCTTTCCTTGGGCGGTTGGCTCAGAATACTTGAACTGTGCAGAGATTGTGGAAGCTCATCCTTCATTGTGAGGATCAAGCGATTGCTGCGATCTCCGGGCACCATGAGGCAGCAGCCTTTGCTACACTCGCATGAGCACTTTGGCTTCTGCCTGGAGAGCTGTAGGTGATGCAGGCTCAACGCCATGAGTGGCACCTTCATGTTTAGCGGAGACAGCCCTGCTGTTGTGCTTTCCTGGACTATCTTCAGTGCAGTAAGGCCTCAGGGATATAGCAGTATGTTGGGAACGTTGAAGAGAGTACCCGGCGCTCGCTTGGAGCGTTGAAAGGCTCATGCTGTTTACGGCAGGAGGGGCAGGTGGTGTGTTTCACTCAGCCAGTACGAGCAGCTCAAGCTGCTCAGTTAATGCTTGCAGAGCAAAGCAGATCCTGCAGTGCCAGAGTATCATCAGCCAGATGCTGGCCAACGGAAAGAGAACCTTGTTTTGGCTTACGCTGAAGCACAATCCGGTGAAACGTCAGACCAGCAGCGCACAACTGATTTGTTGATGGTAGATTTGTCAGGCTATTTGTGCCTGCATTTTAAAACGGACGGCGCCAAGTCAGATCCCAGCTGTTTGTCAGCTCAGACCTGCCTGAGGGTTTGACAGCGCTGGAAGACTCGATGGCCTTAAGCTTGGCCCCGCCTTTGCAGGGCATTACCCCAAGCTCCAAGGCTCTCCATGGACAATCCTTTCGAGGCAGGGGTTTGTCAATGCTAAGAGGGGTTCGACTGGCCTGTTTGTGGGTCAGTCGAGTTGCAAGGTGCCAAGCAACCTCTCGCAGCAGCGCCACAGTGGCGCACAGCTCACATGCTTTGCTGCTGTTCAGCAGGCCAGCTTTTGTTTGCAGTTTGCAACTTCATACAAGTACTGAAGGGGCGGGCCACCGCTGTTTCAAGCAAGCCAAGTCCTGCCTAACGGAACCAGGCCAGCTCAGGAATGAGAACAAAGGTGTGGGCCCACGTAAGTGTCAAAGGTTTTTTGAGCAGAGGCTCCCTTGCAGATAAGTGCTGCAGCCCGTACCTCGTCCCACGTACCCTGATTGGTGATTCAAGACATCATGTGGACATATGTGGACCCTCGAGGCGTGTTAGCTGCTGTTGGACGGCGGCGGGGCTGTGCGCGAGCTATGCGCGACGGTGATGTTGGCGAGCGAGGCGCAGAGGACTGGGTCTTGGCTCAGTTTTGTCATGCAATCAAGTGCTTGATTGGGACTGTTGAAAGTATGTAGGATCCCAACCTGCGACTTTTGCAAATCTATAGGGAGTTCCAATTATCATGCAGTACGGTGGACGCTTGTGCTTCAAGGACTACTTCCCGTCGGGTGAGTTCCAAGAATCTGCCACAAGCACAAAGATCCCCTGCGAACCGGCGATGAGAATAGGCCAGATGTGCGATTACTTGGGGAGCTGGCTTGCAGCCTTGTGCAACAGAAGGCGAATCCTTTGTCAAAAAGTTTGGTTGCAGGCCATGGCTACGACATCCACAAGATGCTGCCCAGGGACGAGCCAGAAGGCTGGGGCAAGTGCACGCCGCAACCAGCGGTCATCGGCGGAGTCGCGTTTGAGGACAGGGCCAGACGAGAAACATGTGAGCGCGTCGCAACAATCTTTGAATAGTGGACGGCTCCTGACTGTTCGGATGAATGAGAGCTGGCGTTTCAGGACTTTCCGCTAGGGGTGGTCGCACACTCGGATGGCGACGTGGTGTACCATTCTACCACGGATGCGATATTGGGCTGCTTGGATGTATTGATTGGCGCACACTGTAGGATCTTCTTTGGTCTCTGTACCCGCACACCTCAGTTCGGTGTTGGCAGCGGGATGCATTTGGGAGTCTGCGACCCTCGGAGCACAGGAGCTCTTGGCCTTCCCGACATCGGACAACTCTTTCCGGACAACGATCCGCGGTGACCTCAACTAATGCCAAGCAAACACCTCTGCTAGCTGGGCTTCTTCTGGAGTAAGCTCACAAGGCGCTGGCGGGGCGCAAACTCCGAGCAGTTTTTTGACGAGGCGCACATAATCTTGTTTTGTGGAGTGGTGTGCCAAACATGCTGTAGGCTGTCCGGCTCATGGGCCTTCGTGGACGCTTGGCAGATCCTTACGCCTACGCTAAAACGAAGCCTTTGATCACAACCGTAAACGTGGCTGAGTGTTGGTGACTTGCAGGCTCAGGAGTTGAAAGTTTAAGAGTGCGGAATCGCCTCAGGATACCGCATTGGCAACGTGGTAGCCTCCTCAGCTCGTTGTTGTCAGCTAGCCCTTCTTGCACTCCACAAGTTGGAATGCAATTGCAGCCGATTCGGTGGCATTCAGCTGAGGATGTGACGATCATTGCTGAAAAGCCAAGACTGGCCGGGCGAAAGGCAGAGACGCGGCAGACAACACTGCCTGCTGCATACGTTGTTGTTTCTTCGCCAGCTTTACTTCACCAGAGCGACACCCAGGACATGAAGGAGAACATTGTTCGCATTTGTGACACTATACCCGCTCGCGTCAATCTGAAGGTGCCTTGCATGACGGACAGGGGTCAGGGCCTCTAGAGTGTTGACATTGTTGGCGACCTGACATGTTCTGCAGGCGAGAACACATGAGAAGCTGGACTCTGTCGGAGAGTGCCGAGCGCTTGAATGCCATGTTTGCGTTCTCCTCGAGAAAGCTTGAGCTTCGGAGCGGCCCGTTTCTCGAGCTTCACAGTACTGCAGAAACAGGCCAAGAGAGGTCTGCTCGTGAAGAGCAGTGCGTTCCTCAAATACGTGTGTCTCTTTCATTACTTGATACCGAAAGATCATCTTCGGCGTGATGCTGCAACAATATTTTTCCTGAGGGCGCATGCCAAAGTGCATGTGTGTAGGTTCTGCGATGTTGGATGGTGTGAGAGCTTTATCTCGGACAAAGTGCAGGCTCAGCTGAGGATGGCTACTGTCCACTTGATGTGTCAGGGATGCAAAGGGCCGTATGTTGGCCGGCATATGGTTCTGAGGACACTAGATGCTCAAGGGATGCCCGTCAGAATGGTCGCTGATAGAGACGCATGCAAGTGGGACACTGACTGCTTCTGCACGTATTGAAAACAACTGACACGTTGCGGTGAGCCCAAGCATTGCTGTGCCTTGCGATGGCCACGTCCCGCCATGCGCCTGCGTGGATGGCAGTGGCTTGGGTTGTTTGGTGGCGTTCAGGCCAGGGACCAGGATGCACACGGGCATCTGTGTCGAGGCCTTACAAGATGTGCTGGCTACACACCCCTTCTTGCAGGCTGCTTCACTGTGGGATGCACTGAGACTGTGCCGTACTCAGGCTTTGCAGTAACTCGTAACTGCCAGCTGACAGGAACCACTGTCATACAAAACCTTCTCGTCTTGCGTCATGCATTTGCCAAGTTCATGCGGAGACCGCTGGCTGCTGTGCCATCGCGGGGTCTGCTAGGCGAGCCAAGCAAATGCAATTGCGCAGAAAGCTTGAAGTTCTCTTCTGTTCCGTGAAGGCTGGAAGCCGACGAAGAACACTGAGCGCAAAGCCGTGGCCGACTTCAGCGCGCACGCAGCCAAATTGTCTGGGGCCTGGGCCAGTCCGAGATCTCCACAATCTGCATTGCAATGAGCCAACTGTGATGCTCAGGTTTGACAACATGCGTGGGCCTGCTGCACTGCTTGCCGGAGCAGTTGTCCCGCTTGGCTTCTTGGCAGCTCCTAAAATTGCCAAAGATGACCCCACTTGGCTGGCCGCGGTCTCGGACTTGACAACCACTGTTCGCTCCGCGCAGCATAAAAGTTGAAGACCCCACTGTACTCAGAAGCGTGTGAAGAGAATGCACTACGTTATCGCGTCAATTGCTATTTGCTGCAGCTTGGCTGCAGATGAGGGCTGTGTGGCACCTTAGTACTCCTATTTGCCGTAGACGTTGCATTGGCTGGCTCGGCGCGCCTGAATTAATTTTTGACGCTAACGCGAGACCGCCTCGAAAAAAGTTAGTCGAGGCAAAGGTAGTCGCAAACACTGCTGAGCCGCACCTGAAGCCGACAACGTGTTCACCTGGGTGTAGGGGTAGCAGGGGGGTCGGTGGGCGGGATTGGGATGGAGCCGAAAATTGTGTTTTTTGGCCTGGCACCTAGGAGGCCGTGCTTTCCTGACCCAGGACCCTCCCGGCCTTCGCGGATTCCCCACACCACAGTAATGGGCCGGACAGCAAAGGTCACTTGACGACAGTAGTCTGGTCCACCATCACTGTCAACAAGCTGAATGAGCCTTGGCGCACCTAGTCCCCAGGAACGACTTGGGCTGATTCCTCCTAATGACGGGCATCTTCTGCACTTAGGAAACTGCGCCGCCTCATGTTGGAAGTTTGATGCAGCTTCTGAAGCAACATTACGAGTTGCCATGGATAGGCCAGGAAGGGACAGCCTCAAAGTTGGGCTCAATTCACAATCACATGGCTGTGCCAGCTTCACGCTTCACTCCGGGAGGTTGCAACGTGAACTTCATCATGGGCTTGTTGGCGTTTGCCTGCCTGCTGGTGACCTTTTCACTGGAACCTTGGCTGACAGGGCATGCCAGGAGCAGCAACGCATCTTGCTTTGCACTTTGTCAACACCTTGTCAAGTCCAGGCATCTGTGTCCCAGGCATCCGTGACCCAGGCATCCTACGGCTTAGTCCCTTGGCCATCCACGACAAAGAATACTGAAGAATGAAGCACATGTTTCAGTGAAGTCTCATGTATGCGATTGTGTCTGCAAATCTTGGCGCTGAAGGATTCAGCTAAGGTCAGCAGACCTGTGGCGTGCACCGTGGCTGCCGCAATCTGACCGATTCTAAGCCTTTCATCTTGAAGCAGAATCCATGCATAGTGACAGCCTGTGTGCATTGTCTAAGGTTTGATGATTTCGATTGTCAATGATGGAGTGTCTCAAGGGGATGGCACTGCAGGCAGAGCCTCAACTGAAAACTTGAACGACTTCCGTGCTTTGCACACATCGGCAAGAAGCGACATGCACATAGTCAGGTGGAGTACGTTTCGGGTCTAACATGTTCTTCCTCTTTGGCCGCTACATTTCGCTGCTAGCTGCCCACGCCGTGTTCCCTGGCTGTGCATGGCCCTGCTTACACAGTTTCTCCTGGGGAAAGCTTTTTCGGCAGTGCAACCACTCCGGAGCATCTATCAAAGCAAGGAGGGGCCCCCGACCTCTGCTGCTGCTGGCCTTCGTTTTCGCGGGTGCCAATCTCAGTACGCGGCTTCGATCATTGCCTCTGTAACAGACACGGACTCACGAGTCAAGATTCAGATTGCAATTCTATCCCGTGCTCGTGATAAAACGGGTCCTTGTGGGTCACCAAACAGGGCCTACACTATAACACGGAAAACTGATGAAATGATTCTAGGCGGTCACCCCAGCAGCAGATAATAATCAGGCCTTGACGAAGGCTTCGGCACTCCAGGAGAATATTATAATTGGGCCCTGACGAAAGCTTGGAAAGCATGGACCCTGGAGGAGTCCTGTAAGAGTGAGCAAAAGATTCAGAGAAGGAGTAAGAGCAGAAACAATGAAGCACTTACTTTCCATACAAGTGATTTTAAACAGCGCTCTCGGCAAGACCTGTTTGTTAGGGTGGCTCAGGAAGCCATGTGCGGGCCTTCAGTTCCTAGTAGACTTAGTAGGGAGATCAGATTCTTGCATCAGCAAGATGCTACGATTGTTTGCAGACTGAATTACATTAACATCTACCTACTGAAGACACTTTGAGGCTAGCTGCTCGATCTATTAGTACGGACATGGCCTTCAAGTGCACCACTCTGTCTCGCAGCCATCGTAATGCCATTTGTGTCTTTCATTTTACAAGCAGCCAAGCAATTAAGTCCTCATGATACACTTCTAAAATCAGTGACTTTGGATCTCGATTTCCATTATTCTAGGGAGGTGTCTACACATGTGAAGAGAGAGCCTCCCAAAGGACCCATTAGGGATAGCTGAAGAAGTAACGTGCCAGCCCTTGATTCCTGAAAAAGCTCCGCTGAGCAGATCAGGTTTCAGAATCAGCTGTACTTAAGCGTCGGCCAATCAGTTGAGTCTCCCTGTACCTTAAATCTTTTTATCTGGGTTCCTGATGAACCTTTCCTGGTTCTTTTTTTGGAGTTGGACATTTGTTGCTGCAATTCTGGGTCTCTTGGCCACAAAATGCACCATGCCTCTAAGCTAGTTGTGTTGAATCTAAGGGGCTTGTTAATCACTAGCTCGGATTAAGTTGCAATGTCAACTTGTCAAGCCAAGTCAAGCCCATGAACATGTGCCATCGGATTCCGACCTTACATAGAATGTGACGTAAACCATTTCAGATTACTAAACAAAGGATGTGGACAGGTTCCCTAGGGCTTGGGGTACTATCTTCATACATGGCGACTCTGCGGCACTTACTCGCAAACACATGTTGCTCTGAACTCGCGCGCCTTGCAGCCTGCCAAACAGAGACTATGGAGACTGTCGAGCAATCTTTGCGCATCATGCTTTACAAACCCCAGTCACCAACACCAGATGCAGAATTCACGGCTTGACCTGTTGCCAGCATCTTGCAATGAAAACTTGGTTGGCCCTGCAACTCGGTCCCAGGATCAGCTGGCTATTTCATCATGAAGATTCAGACTGCCAAAGACACCACGGACACTGAGACTGCAACGGCAAAGTAACTGAATTCGATGACTTTCTGAAACAGGTTTGGTCTTTGAGAGGTGCAAAGTTCACCTCAGCTACACAGACATCACAGATGCATAAGCTTTTCATGGTTTGAGAAGAAGCCAGCCAGCCGCAAAACAGCTCGCACCCGAAAAATCACAAGGCCCTGACGTTGCGGAGCTATAGCCAGCGTTGTCTATTCTACGTCTTGCCTGTGCTCTCATTTCAAGTGTTTTGTTCGATGATGCAAGGCTTTCATACATCCAAGGAGAGGTTCACGGGTGAGCAGCAGGTCTTGCAGAAGTGCAGGGTAAGGCCTCGTCACAGACCAGCGACAGCCTAGGACACGGTTTGCATTTGACACGTATCTGAGAGCTCATGGCTGCAAAGAAGCGTGCGCCGACGCTCGCGCCGGGTGACGGCAGGAACCACGGGAGAATTGGGGATCCAGCTGATTGTTGGCACTACTGTTAGTTCCGATTCAAATCCGTAGAAAAGAGCAAATCAACCAACCTTGGGTTGCATTTGTCATGAGGAAAAGAGATTGGCCTGCGATCCTTTCTCACATAGAGCTGGAGTGGGTCACAGAAAAAAGCGTTCAGAACTCGGGCGATCAGTGACTGGTGGAGCTGTCCTAATAGTGCATCCCAAGCAGAGTCGATAGCAGCAACCCAGGATTGTGATCGGAGTGCCAACAAGGATGGCGACACCGTAGCCTTCAAGCACAAAGGAGCGCCAGCTGAGGTTCAATTTGTGGAAATGTGTAGGGTAGCTTGCTGAAGCCTTATTCTTGCTTCCACAGTGCCAGGATTCATCGCAGAACTTCCTAAGGGCAAGACTCGCGATGCACAGGGCCATGAGCTTCAGGCCCTACACTGGATGGTTTAAGGGGTGGAGGCCTCTCACATCATGAAGCGTTCCAGAGAGTCTGCCTGGCCCTGGCAACAGGTTGGTATGCAGATGGACTCAAACATCCTACCTGAAACCAAGGCAGGGTCCTGCCCAAAGTGCTCTGCCTACTGCACAAACATTTAAGTTGCAACCAGGTGTTGAAAATTTTTGTTCTGTGCACTCAGCTGCTCCGCAACTGATGTGGGCCTAGCAGGAAGACAAGCCGCTGGAGTTCATGCTGGGCACCCCCAAATTGATCGTAGGAATGGAAGCCGTGCTGCGCACGATGTGTGAAAACGATGCTTGGTACCATTTGGTTCCTGACTTCGCCAGTGTTTGATATTTGATGGGTAGAGTTTGGCAGCTCCAGCTTGCTATTGTTGACGGCTTGGTGCAACAGCTAGTGTAGCATAATGCTGTGATTCCGCATTTCCCCCATTCTGCTGGCAAGGAAAAGGTCAGGGCCAAGATCCCTGGGCCACTCGCTTACAACTCTCGCGCGGGCTTCCTGCCCTACGATACTGTAGTCCTGTACGAGATGGAGATGGTGCAAGTGACACGAGGCTCACTTTCGGCAGTACTTGCTGCAATCTACGGTTACTGATCGCAATTTCCTTACTGCACAGCTGTCCGCCCAAGCCCGTTTCTGCAGGCAACGGGCTGCCAGCGCCGGAAAGCCCAACACCGATGGCACCTGTGAGTGGCCTGGCGGATGAGTTGGGATTTCAATATGTTTGCATGTCAACGCCTTGCAATGGGCTTGCTGTACTTGACTATGAAAGCTTCACTTGTCCTTGTGGGCAGCGAGGCGCTGGCGCAGCTACATGGAAGTTGGTGCTGGCCTTGCTCACAATGCTGGGCCTAGTTTTCGGAGGCCGGCGCAAGGGCCTCCCAATCCAAGTGAGACTCTGGAAAATGCTGGTGGTTCCAATCCACAAGTACTGTACCTCGCAATTCCCTGCGTGCATTGGCTGCAGGTATTGCCTTCCTTATGAGGGGAGGCGAGAAGTCCTTGAAGAGCAAGGACGCTGACACTGCGCAGCAGCAGTCAGATCACGCCAGATCCTCCAACCTGCAGGAATCAAAGACGTCGAAGAAGGAGGGCAAGAAGAAGAGATGATTCGGTTCGGTTGTTCATGGAGAAATAGACCGTTTGCCGATGACTTGCAATCAATGCCTGCTCCCACAAGAGGAAGCGAGCGAGCTTATCGGTTTGTAAAAAATGCTGAATGTGTGGCTGGAGTTGATGCTTTAGAGCTGAGTAAGGATGTTTTATTTGTCCAAGCGCGTGCATCCGGAAGGCACGCTGTGATCAAGCCAGCTTTGGCATGACACATCAGCGGCACTTCAGTTAGCAACAGCTGGAATTGTTTGGTTGATGCGAATGCACTTCTAGCGCCATGGGCCGCAGTCGAAGACGATGGTTGGGATCAGGCACTTGCTTGGCATGCGTCACTGCGACAATTGGCATGCAAGTGGTGTGTACTTGAGTGCAAGTGCTGGATGTGCGGGCGAGCGCAGCCATTGCTCCGTGCATCTCAGGATCATTCAAAGAGAGACGCTAACTTCCAGTTTCGTCAATTCTGCGTGCCGCCCTGCACTGCGCGGCAGAGCACCTCGTCGATGGTAAACAAGACTGATAACTGCAGAAAGGCGTTTGGCTTCAATTTGTTCGGAGAATGTTGACACTTACATGACCCTTGCCCTGCCTGAGAGTAAGCGTGGGCCACACGGCACCCTGGACGCCCCTCCAGCAAATCCTCTTGAAAAAGCAGTCAAATCAGGGCGACACCATGCGTTCAGCAGAAGTGCCCAATCCGCCACGCCAAAACACGAGCATTTACTGGCTCTGCGTCTTGCGAAGCGCAAAACAGAAGGACAGCGCACCTGTGCGCTGGGCACCAGGTAACAACAACAGAAGACGAGTTCGCAATATGGCTCACCAGACAATCGCCAACACTGGCCGCATCGCGAGTGGTGGAATTTCCTTTGAAACATTAATATACATGAATACAATATGCGGTCCGTGCACCTCCGCTCTTGCTGCCCAGGTCGCGACGAGCCCACCGCCGCGCTGCCCCCGCTCTGCAGAAGCCGTCATTGGCCTGGGTACAATCTCGACAGGATACATGGGAAGCACCAATGCGTGCTGCTTGCATGTCAATCCTGGCAATTCTTGGGAGGCGACCTGGCACTCGGCGCTGTTTTGTTGGGCTTCCTTGGCGCATACATACCGCAGGCGGATCCTGGAATGTTTGAAGAGTGAGTGGAGCCCAGCAGTGTCCATGACAGGTGCTCAGGCTCGGCCAAGGCAGTGCATGGCAGGCTGGGCAGTTGGCTTCTCCAGCGATGTGTATTATGGCAATTTACGGTGAATTTGGGGATTGTTTCGGCCAAGAGCGTGATAGAAGGATGTAAGGCCGTATTTTACACGTATTGCGCTGGAGCCAGGTCGGTGGCTTTCGCTACTTCGCAAACCGCGGTCAGCAGGCCTTCTCCGATGCTGCCCACGCGCTGGCCGGAGAGCATCCAGGCCTGGCACAGAGCTTTGCAAGCATGGGGCCTGTCAGCAATCACTGAGTTGCCAGGGTATTTTGAGAATTCGGTGTTCACCTACTTCGACACTTTCGGAGGGAAGGTTCTTCCTGACATGGGCAGCTACTCTCGCCTTGTGAGGCTCATTGATCGAGGTGCCAGTGACAACGGACAGATACAAAGAGTTGTACGGCATTGGCAGTAAGTATTGATGATTAACGCGGCCTTGAGCTGACGAGGCGTCACGGATGTCTACGATCACAAGCGCGGCTTAGAGCTCCGCTTACGTGAATTCGGCTGCCTGAACGTGTTTGCCCCCACATACTTTTCCCAGCAAGAGGCGTTGCAGGCGCAAGTGCAAGCGTTGTGCAGAGCTGAACACGCGGTGTTGGACAGAGTCAACCAGGCAACCAGCTCCGATCCTGATGCGCTGTTCTTTGCCAAGCTCCCGGAGCAGAGCGGCGGCCGCGGAATCCGCGTCCTGCGTCGCGAGGCCAACGGAGGCGAAAGGGCAGCACAGGCTTCAATTGGATGATGCCAGCGGCTTCGCAGGACTTGTGTCAAGATGACCTGCCCTCGGAGTATGTCATTCAGCGTGCTGTGCAGGCTGGGAGGGACAGCAAATTTGCTGCAGTCTGGCATGTAAGTAATTAAAGTGCAAAAGCAAAAAGAGCGCCATGGAGACGTAGACTTTTGCGAAGCCATCGTGAGGACAGGCTCGTTGCATTCTGAGCCTCTATGAGAGCCCATGGCGAGAGGTGTGGTTCCAAGAGAGTCCGAAAAAAGATGGCAACAAGCCAATGTATCCCCTAGTCAATCCCGAATCGCTCCTAATGGCTGCTGCAGCTTTCAACCGTCACCATTTTCAAAACTCATTGCTCTCCGGCGCAGGCTCCAGTGGTCAAGTGATGCGGGGTTCTGACTTCAATCATATCACCTAGGTATGTTGCTGCTGTCCAAAGCAGAGTTGTTGCTGGTCATGAATCTGCTTAGCCGTGTCGGGCAAGATGCGACAACCGGAATTTTGAGGCGACGTGGTGCATCCGGTGAAAGGATATTAGATGAGTTGAGGGGGTGCATAAAGTGTTAAACTCACTCCTATGTGCCTGGGCTCTGGGTTAGCATCAAAGGCATGCAGCAGAATGGGATTGTGAGATACGCCTCTGCTTGAAATGTTTCGGCTAATTCTGGAGAACGCTGGCACGTTGCATTGGCGTGGGCTGCAGGATCTGGAGTTGATTGATGAGCGGAAGTTTGTTATCCGATACTTCTTCGTAGCAACTCGGAGCGGCATGGATTACCAAGCATTGGCTTTCAAACTACAGCTCTACTTGTCTTCAAGCTGAGGTCCACCAAAAGAGCATTTATCTCCACGAGCATGGCGTTGCGATCGTGCACGGCGAGAGGTACGACCGTTTGAGCACAAACCTTGGTGTACAGGTTCGACATGATTGGCACCTCGCTGCAAAGCACAACGCATTGCCAAGATGCCTCCTTGGCATTTGCTTGTCCACTTTTTGTGCAGAGTGGCAGACAAGGTACGATGACAGTTCCGAGACCAACCTGCTTACCTTACAATCAGTAGAAGAGGCATTGGAGCACGCAACTTGCAGGGACTCCAGGAATGTAGCTGCACTTTCTTGATGGCACACATCCGGCAAAGCAAGAGGTGCAGCGCATGAGGTGCGTCAAACACATGATATATGTAGAATCCACTTCAGTTGTGGATGGATAAGTCTGACGGCACAAAGTACGCTGTCCTACCAAGACCTTGGAGTCTGTTTGGACACTACGTGTTCAGATGCCTGTACCATGATGTTCAGATGTTCGGCGTGGCATTGGGAGGCGCCGCGCTGGCGCCAGGCAATTGCGACAAAGCTTCGCGAGGCGGAGATGTACAGTCACGTACAGTCAAGGTGATAATACAGATCTGCAGAGTAATGGGAAGAATCCAGCCAATTGCGATCGGCTAATGCACTGTACGGAGAGTCCACTGCGCATGCTGGTTGCAGAGGCCCTTCCAGCACTGAGCCCACTTCTTGAAGCCAGCAGCTCTGACCGCTACACGCTCGTGGGCGGCGATGCGCTGATACAAGGCTCTTGGGTTTTGTTGTGATGAGTAGGCCCGGCCTTCCCCTCACTTAAGCTTGCTGCCAAAGCATGAGAACCCTTTTTTGAGGTGACGGTGAGGCCAAGCTCATCGAGTTCAACATGTGCCTTGCCTATCACGGCACAGCTGCCGCACAATTCGTGGAAAGGTGAAAGTTTGCGCTGCAGTGAGGTACCCCAACCTGTTCTCCGGCTGGGACATAGTGGACAAGGACGTTTTCACGCCAATCCTTAAAGATATGATGGCCGCAGCCCCAGCATGCCAAGGAACAAGCAAGAGCCAGTACAAGAAGACCAAAGTGATTCAAGCCAGGAGCTGATTCTACTTGGAGAGAGAGCTCCTGGCTTTGTTTGGAAGCTGGATGCTGATGACTCCAAAGAAAAGGCAAAACGCAGCTTCTAAGATTGACAGAAGCGTTTGAATGTGATGAGCGAACGACGGGTTCAGAGTCCAAATCGCCTTCGGGATGCTTAAATCACAAACAGGTGTGTGGGATAGAGCCTAGGTTCGAAGACTTTCAGAATAGAGACTGAGGGCTACAACAATGATCCCATTTCAATTTACGCTCGTAGGACAGTCTGACTAACGCAGGTTCAGCAGCAAAACAAGAGAGCGGAGTCGCCTCCGCTGTAAATTGGCAGGGGCTCGGATGCTACGAACGCTGCGGTGTACCTGTCAGTCAACCTTTCATTAAACACTTCAGGTTGAGGGTTTTGGGGTTTGAACGGCCTGCCGCAATCTGGCATAACCCTTCCAGCATGTTGTCACTTTCGGCTCAAATACAGCTTTTACTGGGGCGCACCGCGTAACTGGCAATTGCCGGAGGGCGGAGCCAGATGACACGCAATGACGCAGAAGACATGGAGCAGCTACTTTCCAAGGGTTTCCCAGTCGCGCAAAAGTCGCAGACGTGCGGGACCTCGTTTCTGAAGGGATGCTGCGGATGCTGCGCTGGACTTGCTGTTTTCTTCCTCGTGATCATGCTCCTCCTCTTTATTGCACTTGGCCCTGCGGGCTTCACGTACTACATAGCAGTGGTGAGGATCGCAGTGTACGGCTATGGCGGAGCTGCATGCATGGCATCTGACGACAACTGTCGAACTGCTCACGGCTTCCCCGGCATCGACACTGACAGCACGGTGACATGGTATGACGAGCAGGTGCGCTTGATGGAGCAGCTGCCATCTCGCTTGGAGAGTGGCGAGGCATATCGAGGGAACGAGCTGGGGAACGTTCGTATTAATGACTACATTTGGCCAAACATTGCCTTAGGTAGCAATGAGAGTGTGCACAGCCGCTTAAGGCCTGTCTATGACGCACTTTGGGGATTTGAGGCAAACACTTGGAGCAAGCATTCTGTCCGAAAGAGTGCCCGTGCCTTTATAGCACAAGTAAACAGCACCTTCACTGTTCCAAATGACGTCAGCAAGTGGGTCGAGCTTGAGCTGCACAAGATCAGCTTGGGCTACGACCTGACAAGTCAGCAGCTGGAGCGCTTTCTCGACTTCCAGGGCAACGCCCCACTGATGATAGCATTGCCCGAAATTTTTAATCCGGTGCTCAGCATTCTGCCCAACGTGCAGGAATTTATCTCCACAAGGCGGCAGCTGATCCAGGAATATGCCGACATCATGGCCGGTGACAAGCGGGGCCTTTTTGACAATATCTCCAGTTCATTCCGTCCCACCATGGCGAGTGCACTGCTGGACTCCCTTACGTTTGCAGGCGGTCTCAGCATCCCTCATGCACTGACATCGGTTTTCGCGCTTATGTACTCTGATCAGTCCCCGGCTGGCAAGGCCCAAGATGCCGCAAGTCTAAGCGACGAGGAGGTCGAGCGTTTTGTTTTCGAGGCAGTGCGACTCTTTACGCCAGTGATCGAATTCCCTTGGATGGATGCAAGCAACCAAAGGCGGAAGCTGATGATACAAATGAAGGCATTGCGAGACCCGGCTGTTTGGGGTGAGAACGCGAATGAATTTCTTTTGAGAGATTTGGACCAGTATCTCAACTACTCGGGCATTGGCTGGGTCGAGCCGGCGAACGGCCCCAGAAGGGAGGGCTACCGGTGGGTCTCTACACCCAGAAGCCGGGGTTGTCCTGGTCAGGACATGGGTGCGCTTGGAACTCTAAGTGGTCAGAAACAGGATTCAGGTTTGTTCCCTAAAGTTTAGGGTGGAGGGTGCAGGTGGCATTTGGTCTGGACATGTTGGGGCCTTGTTGAAGCAGGACTTGAGCCTGGCCATGATTGTTGGCTTCATCCAGGAGGGGCCAAACACACCCGCACTCTGATTAGATGGACATTCAGTACCATTTGCGCGGCAGTCTTTGTCGACCGACATGTACCTGTAATATCCTATAGTTTTTCTGTATGGAAGCTTGTTCGCATCACTTGAGTTTAAGAAAGCGCAAATGGGTTTTGTGGAGCTCTTGATTTGCAGGAGTGGCGCAGCATGCAGCACGAGTGGCAAGTCGCTGAGCAGCCTAGTGGCGGTATCTCATTCACGGGCCCGGCCTACTTCACTCCCCCGGTTTCCAAACCATTTACGCTGCAGCGGGCGTCGTAGTCAATAGGACTTTGCTACAATCAAGGATTTGCGCATGCTCAGTGCTGACTGAAATGAAGCATGCAATGTGCGCGGGAGACAGCACGCACTTTGTCCATCGACCGGCGGAGAGCAAATTCATAAGGAAGGCACGCAATATTTTGCAATTATCTCAGGAAACCAATTAAAACAACCTAAGATATCCGTCATTTTTATAGTGAATTTTCTTGAAGAATTAGCTATATAAATAGGGATGAATTTTATTTTCATTTTTGGAAGAAAATGGCAAGTTATGGTGGCCTTTGACCATGGCGTAGATTCAGAATAAAATAGAAGGAATATATTTTGATGGATTTTTTAATATGATATTATAAGCTTAATTCAAAAAAATACGATTATTTCGCTGTTGATGATGATTTTACATATGATTATGATAAAATATGCAGAAAATTGCGAGAGGGGAGGCTAATAGATGATAATCTGAGCTTATATTATAGGTATTTACGATTATATGCTTGCGGAAGTATTAGCTCGTTTGATATAATATTCTCGGAATTATTTAATGCTCGAAGTTATGTATGATGAGCGCACGGATTTTTTTCTGAGGTAAGCATTGAAAGAGAATTATTTTTTGATAATAATTTGTCAGAATTTCAAGAATTATTATGCATACTATCTCTAAAGCCGCCCCGCATCCGCCGCGGCGGCCCGTTTGCTTCGCTAAATATTTTCTTTTGCTTTCAAGATTTGATTTTTAATTATTTCTAAATAAATCGTTGTCTGAAAAGCGTGATCTTAATTCTTGATCAAAACAGAAGCATATATAAAAGATTTGATGATTTCATTAATTGATTCTTTTGGACTTTCGTATTAGGATTGCTAGTATATTCATCTATTATCTAGCCATATATAGAATTTCTGTTATAAAGAAAAGAAAACAACTAATATATATATAAATTTACTTATTCTGAAGGATCGTAGAAAATCGCCTACGCCGCCGACCCCATTATCGGCACTGCGCACTACCACCGCAATTATACAACCACCACTACCACCCCCACAACCACTCCCGCCACCCCCGCCATCACCACCACCATCCCCGCCGCCACCACCATCGCCATTCCCATCGCCGCCATCACCACCGCCCCCCCCCGCGCACCGCCGCCCTCAATGCGACCCTCACCGGCACTCTCGCCGCCCTCCTCGCCGGCACCCTCACCGCCGCCCTCACCGCCACGGCGCCCTCACCACCACCCTCGCGACCTCCACCATCGCCCCCACCGCCCCGCCCCCTCTCCGCCCCCTCCCCGCCACCGCCCCGCCACCGCCC